ACCACATCGCCACTGGCAGTGGAGACAACACCTGTAAAGTTTGGGACCTTCGCCAGAGGAGGTGCATTTACACCATTCCCGCCCATCAGAATCTGATCACCGGAGTGAAATTCGAACGTAAGCCTCTCCACCACGTTTTTTCCCCCCAGGAGCCTAAAATCTGGACTCTGAAAACCCAAGCGTCGACTCTTGGGAATTGCTGAGAGCCTCACGGATGGGGCTAAGATTTGAGGGCAATGGGGCAGCTTCCCTTGTTCCTTTAAGCCAATTTAGCTTGCCCCGAGGGGCATCACCCAACCAGCTTTGCCTGATCTTAAAAAAAGCGAAGCAGCCTCGCATCAAACTGGGTTAAGAGTTGGTGAGTTAACCCCTTGGAAGTGTAGGTTAAGCTTCAGGTTGAGAGAGAGAAAAAGCCCCTCCCAACAGAGGGGCAGATCCCTTCTGGATATCCACTTCTGTGCCGTGCTTAAAACTTCGGATTAGAAACAAGGAGATTGTGAGTTCTAGTCCCACTTTAGCCATGAAAGCCAGCTGGGTGACTTTGAGCCAATCACCAGGAGATGCTGAGTTCGTCCTACTTTAGCCATGAAAATTGGGTGACTTTGGGCCAATCACTAGGAGACAGTGAGTTCTAGTCCTGCCTTACCCATGAAAGTCAATTGGGTGACTTTGGGCCAATCACCAGGAGAATGTGAGTTCTAGTCCCGCCTTAGCCATGAAAGTCGGCTGAGTGATTTTGGGCCAATCACCAGGAGACAGTGAGTTCTAGTCCTGCCTTACCCATGAAAGTCAATTGGGTGACTTTGGGCCAATCACCAGGAGACGGTGAGTTCGTCCTACTTTAGCCATGAAAAGTGGGTGACTTTGGGCCAATCACCAGGAGACAGTGAGTTCTAGTCCTGCCTTACCCATGAAAGCCAGCTGGGTGACTTTGGGCCAATCACCAAGAGACAGTGAGTTCTAGTCCCGCCTTAGGCAGGAAAGCCAGCTGGGTGACTTTGGGCCAATCACCAGGAGACAGGGAGTTCTAGTCTCATCTTAGCCATGAAAGCCAGCTGGGTGACTTTTCATCTAGTCCTTCTGTCTCACCCCAACCCACCTCTGTTGTGTGAGGAAAACAAAGAGGAAGAAGGTGTGGTGAATATGTCCCCCACCTTTATTTATAAAAAAAAATAATAAAGGTGGGATACAAATTAGATGATGACGATGATAACAATCGTCCCTCCATTAAGTTTTCCCTCCCTCGCCCTCATTCTCTCCTCTCCCTCGCCGTTCCTGTTTTTCCCTGCTCGGTGTTTCCTTGAGATCGGTCGTCACTCCCGGAGCCCCCCGTGGATCGTTTGTCTTTGTGCTTCCCTCCTCCCAGCGAATCACGGCAACTTCCTCCTGACCGGAGCCTACGACAACACGGCCAAGGTGTGGACTCACCCCTGCTGGTCTCCCTTGAAGACCTTGGCCGGACACGAGGGCAAAGTGATGGGCTTGGACATCTCCATGGACGGGCAACTGATCGCCACCTGCTCCTACGACCGGACCTTCAAGCTATGGATGGCGGAATAAGCAGGGTATTTCCATCCACCCTAACCCCTTCTCACATCACTTGGGTGGGGGGACGGACCTGGGTTTTATGTCGGGGGGGAAATCCGATCACAACTGCCCTGCGGAGTCCGTCCTCTTCCTCCTCCTCGTGTGCCGGCCGCGTTCGAGGAAACTTTTCATTTGAGAATCTTTTTTTTTTTTTTTTTTATAAAATATTCCTCCTTCCCTCTCTGGTGGGCTTCCGGATTTTTGCCATTGTGAGGGGAGAAAAAAAAAAATCCACACACTTTTCAACCCGGGTGATAAAAAGGTTGGCTACCCCCTGCTTTGGCTGATCTTGGACGGAGACGCTTCCGGGAGATCCGAGGGTTCCCATCAAATAGGTGGTCTTTGGATGGACCTCTCAGTTTGGAGATCGGGGTCCTTTTCTCTGTTGGGCAGAGACTTTTTATAAAAAAAAATAAGTGTATTAAAGCAAAGTGGCTGCTTCTGTTTCAAAGCCTCCACCGGTTTCCCTTGTCTGCCGTTTGTGTTTTTAACGTACCGCCTGATAGCTTGTACAGGTACTCCTCGTGTTACAGCCACTTGTTTAATGACAGTAAGGACCGACAGTTCCTTCTATCCTTTCCTTTCCTTTCCTTTCCTTTCCTTTCCTTTCCTTTCCTTTCCTTTCCTTTCCTTTCCTTTCCTTTCCTTTCCTTCCCTTCCCTTCCCTTCCCTTCCCTTCCCTTCCCTTCCCTTCCCTTCCCTTCCCTTCTTCGGGGCTTATGTACGCATGTCAGCAGCTGGCATTTCCTTAGCTCAGTCTGGCCTCCTGGGAGTAACATGCCCACCCTCTGAATGGCCCACAGCTTGGCAACCAAATCGTGGCTAAAACTCTTCATTGCTCAAATGAAACATGGCTCACCAAACTGGTTCCTGTTGCATTTTACCAGTGGTGGAGTTTCTCCCGTGTGGTTTTTATGGTAAATTAGACTCCTCTCTCTCATGCCCTCCCTCTCCCTTTCCCTCTTTCTTTCCCCCCTCTCTCTCTCCCCCTCTCTCTCACTCTCTTTCTCTCTCTCCCTCCCTCTCCCTTTCTCTCACTTCCTCTCTCTCCCTCTCTCTCTCCCTCCCTCTCTTTCTCACTTCCTCTCCCTCTCTCTCCCATTCTCTCTGTCTCTCCCTCCCTCTCTCTCTGTCTCTTCCTCCCTCTCTCCTCACCCACTCCAAACATTGTGTTATGCCTGGTTAGCAAATATACAAGTATATAAGTGTTTACATGCAGCCATGGCCAAAAATATAAACCAGGAGCCAAATATACAAATATAAATACAGATATCAATGTTGGGTTATGCCTGGTACCAGATGTATCTTGAAAACACCAAATATACCTTGGAAAAAAGTGTTATTTTAACCCCTTTTGTTTAAAAATAGAGATTTCCTTCCAGCACCTTCCACTTACTGTTATAGAAAATACTAGCTGATAACAAAGGACAGATTAAGCCAACATCCTTTTGTCTGAATTCAGCCTCTTGCAACCTTGGCTTACCTCTCTGCCCTAGGCGATCTGACTTCCTTTTTTAAAAAAAGTATTATTTGGTAGCATCAAAGGCCCTTCAAATGATTTTTTGATTTTTTTCTCTCCTTTATGCGCTCACACGCAGGAACTTAATGGAACATAGACTACGCAGTTTGGGGGGAAAAATATTAGCGTTCCTAATTAAATCTTTTTCAGGCAGACTCTTTTTTTTCCCTGTCTCGATTCAGAGGAAAAAAAAACTTTAGGAGAAACTCCCTTCTGGGCACCAAAGATGGATTCCTTCCTGCCACCCTCCCTCCCTCAATAAATTTAATTCCAACCCCTTCGGTTGTAATTCAGTGGCAGAATTGACACGGTGGCCGAATTAGCTCACATCTGCATCTGAATTGGACACCAAACAGGCCAGGTTTTCAGAACTGGCTAGGCTGCAAAAAAAAAAAAACCCAACCTCCCCTAACCTTGGTCAAAAGAATTTTACAGTGAGGGATGAATGCATTTGCTAGGTACACAGGACCTGGTGAACTTCGTAATGTTTGGACAGCGAGAAGAGCAGCATTAAATAAATAACTGACACGAACCAGCCCAGCAGATGAAGGGGGAAAAAATTAAACATTTCTTTAATATGCTTGATTTGATTCTCTGATTTCTCTCTCTTTGTCTGTCTCTCTCTCTGTCTGTCTCTCTCTCTGTGTCTGTGTCGCTGTGTCCGTCTGTCTCTTTCTCTCTGTCTCTGTCTCTCTCACTTTCTCTGTCTCTTTGTCTCTCTCTCTCTCTCTCTCTCTCTCTCTCTCTCTCTGTCTCACTTGCTCTCTCTCTCTCTCTCTTTCTGTCTCACTTTCTTTGTCTCTCTGTCTCTGTCTCCTCCCTCTCTCTCTGTCTCCTTCACTTTCTCTGTCTCTGTGTGTGTGTGTGTGTCTCTGTTCCTCTCTCTGTGTGTGTCTCTGTCTGTCTCTGTCTGTCTCCCTTTCTGTCTCTGTCTCTCTGTCTCTCTCTTTTCTCTCCCTCTCTCTGTCTCCCTCTCTGTCTCTCTCTGTGTCTCTCTCTCTCTGTCTCTCTCTCTCCCACACACATACACGTGTCCACATTTTGCATTTACAAATGCCGCATCTTAACTACAAGGACAAATTTGTACTTCATTTTCCGGTCAAGTGCTGTAACAGAATAATAAAGAATCGGAAACCCTATATTCCAGTTTCAGACAAATGGCCGTCCAACCTCCTCTTAAAAACCTCAAGTGTTTTGGACTTGTCTCTTCTGGAGACAAGTTGGCTCCTTTCTCCCTTTGATCTTAATCTGTTGGTGCTGGTGGGTTTTTTTTCCCCATTGGGGTAAGGTAGGTTCCCCTCGCACATATGTGCTAGTCGTTCCCGACTCTAGGGGGCGGTGCTCATCTCCGTTTCAAAGCCGAAGAGCCAGCGCTGTCCGAAGACGTCTCCGTGGTCATGTGGCCGGCATGACTCAACGCCAAAGGCGCACGGATCGCTGTTACCTTCCCACCAAAGGTGGTCCCTATTTTTCTACTGGCATTTTTTACATGCTTTCGAACTGCTAGGCTGGCAGAAGCTGGGACAAGTCACAGGAGCTCACCCCGTTACGCGGCACCAGGGATTTGAACTGCTGAACTGCCGACCTTTCGGTCGACAAGCTCGAGGTAAGTTAAGGTACCTCAGGGTAAGATAGGGTAATAGCAAAACTGCTTTTAAGATCTCTGGATTGGACGGCGTATGGTATGCCATTCACAAATTCCGTAGTGTGTGCTCTCTGCCAAGAAGAACTTGCTCTTTATGACTTGGACTTGGGCCATCCTATCTCCTACCTTCTTGATCCCCAAATTCAGAAGCCGGGCTCTTTAGGAAAGGATTTTGATCCTCCCTTTCCAAAATACTTTCCGGCTTCCTCCGTTCCCAAGCCCTGCGGAACCCACCCACCCCCACCACATTAAATCAAAATCCAAGTTTCCACGGTCTGCTTCTCCTTCATCCCAAACCTGGGAAAAAGTTTTTCGTCCAGAAGACGGAGAAGACGAGTAGCAAAGTCAGGCTTAAGACAATGACCATCAAGTACGTGAAGATCCGAAGATGCGGGTTCCGGACGCATTCTCGGAGAAGGGCGCGGCGAGGAACGGTGGGGGTGCTGGCTACGGTCGCTGGCTGGGGGCTTTCGGGGTACGGCTGGGTGCCGAGTTCAGGGTCAACGCCCAGATCCAAGGTGTAGACCCTGGGTTGCCGCAGGAAATACCTGGTCTTGCGCTGCTCCTTAAGGCACAGTTGCCGTCCTTCGAGGATGATGTGGTTGGGCTCCAGTCCCAACTTGTGCAAGAGGGCGACGTCGGTGGGGAGTTCGGTCACCTGCTGGTTGGCCGGCAGCAAGGTCAGGCAGCGGCAAAGAGGACAAGGCAGCTGGTTCTGGGTGGCGGCGATCAGGCTGAGGTGCGCCAGGCACTCGATGCAAAAGGAATGGCCGCATCGTAGGAGTTTGGGGGTCCGGAAAATGTTATTGTAAGCGTTCCAGCAGACCGGGCATTCGGAAACCAAGCTTGGCTCCTGTTCTAAGTTTTTGGCCATGGTTATTTGGCTCGAAAAGCGGTTCTGTCAAGTGTGAACGGCCTGCTCCACATGTGAAGAGTTCAATTGGAGACTTTATTACCTATGCCCGATTCACAGGAATCTTCCCGGACTGGCCGATTTGCACCTGGACTAAATAAAGCTCAACGGCACCCAAGAGGGATCAGATTTTGCCTTTTTTGTGCCCACGTAAAGATTCCAGACTAATTCCCTGCTTGACTCCTCCTTTCCCCTAGCTTGGCCGGTCTTTCTCTCCGACTGTCTGATGTTTATTAAAATTACCCACGAGGCTCGAAAGAGCCAACGGAAGCATGGCGGATCAGTTTTGTAGCATCCTGGAGGTGGGGGGGTGGGATTGCTGGGCAGACGGAAGCCCCCCTTTCCTTAAAGCGCAGGAAGTCCATCGCTGGAGTTAAAAAAAAAACGGAAGAGAGAAGTTAGAATAAGAAGCAAGGCTTGGGCGTGCGTGGAAAATCTCCCGGGAATGCTCGAATTACACTCCGCTATTTATACCGTGCTATCTGAGGACGTAATGCGTTACAGAATACGGCAAGCCGCTATCCCCAGGGACCGAGAGTCTACGATATGACCGCAGAGATAAGGGAGGAGGGCGGAAATGAGCTTGTGGCAGAGGTGCGCTTTGTTTTTCTTTTTTTTAAAGTTTCTAGTCCTCATGAAGCAGACATGGGTTCTCCGGTTTGCTCAGGAATTTAGGCAGGTAGTCCATGACCATCTGAAGTCAAAATGGCACTGAAATTTTCATATTAGTTCATTCTTCATCCTAAAAAAATTGAGCAGACTCGGGGTTGCTCTTCTACCATTCCATCTCCCTTATTTTACAACAATCCTTCTTCTCCTTCTCTGTTTCCCTTCCCTCCCTTCTTCTATCCTCTTCTACTTTCTTCCTTCCTCCTCTCCTTCCCCTCCTCTCTTTCCCCTTCCTTTCCCCCACTCCTCCCTTCTTCCTAACCTTCTCTCCTACTCTTATTTCCCCTCCCTTTTCTTCCTCTCCTTTCCCCTTCCTTCTGTTCCTCTCTCTCCTTCCTCTCTTCTCCCCTCCCATCTATCCCTCTACTCCTCTTTCCATTCTCTCTCCGTTGTTGCATTCATCTTCAATTCAGTATTTTCCAAAGTGGTATCGAGCAAACCCCGGTTTTCTATTTATATACTTGTTGAATTTCAAGGATTACTTTCTCGGTGTCTGGGATGTCTACCGAAAATAATGGCATCTCTGAGCAGATCCTAAATTTCCCACTATTAAATACCGCAGAACTCTGGAAGCAGCTTTCCAAACAAGCCAGTTTTGGTCTAATCATTTTTTATTTTTATTTATTTTTTTTGAGCTGACTTTGATGGCTACCAGATTTCCAAATCTTTTTAAGGCCTCGAACCCAGAACTTTTGGCGTGCAAAGCGAAGGCATTCACGCTGAGCGATGCTCTCTCTCTCTTTTCCCCTGCCTTCTCTAACAAACCCCCCACCCCTTTACTAGATTTAAACCAGCATCGACTGTGTTTCTGGCTTCCTTCTGCGATCCCCTCCTTGAGCCCTGGATTCTCTCCTTCCTGCCCATCGACTCTCAAAATTTACCTGTTTGGGGAGGTGCGAAAAGTTTACCTTAAACCCTTTTTTCTTCCCTCTATGAAATCAACAAGATCTATTCGAAAGATCTGCCTTTCTAAAAAGCCAGATCTTTGGCTCGAGATTTAAAAGCTGCAAGGGATCTCTGGAACGCCTGCCAACGATGGATCTAAATCACCTCTCCCTCCTGGCTCACCGCGTACAAACCCAGCTCTCCCCACTCCTTCCCCCGAAAATATTCAGCCCACCTTGCCAACGGCCTCCTCCTCCTCTTCCTCCTCGCATCTCTTGTCGCGCTAGAATAGATGTTGGGGAGTAAAGGTCTCCAGGTTGCACAGAAAGAGGCAGGGCCTCCATCCGTGAAGGAGAGGAAAAAGAGCATCCCCACCCCCTCCCTTTCAGGACCAGATCCTTGTCTATCGGGTGGTTCCCCCCAAGGGCTTGGGTTTTCAGCACGGCAAGGACAGGAGGCAGCTGTTGTTTACCACCAGGAACCAAGGAGACAACAGCCTAGAAGAAGACAGCAGGGCTTCTCGGGGAGGCTGCTATGGAGATGGACACCTTGATCTCAAAGCTTGGAGCCGCTGGTATTGTCCTCTACAGAGATGAATAGAGCAGGGACGGCTAACCTATTTGCCGTCGCATGCCAAAAGCGGTGTGTGTGTGTGTGTGTGGTGTGGTGTCGCACACACATGTGCCCACACTCATAATTCAATGCCAACCCGTGCCCCCCCCCGCGCCTGTACGCGCAACCCCCCCCAACACTTTTGGCACGTGACGGCAAAAAGATTACAGGTGGGCCCGGTAGGCCCGTTTTTCGCTTTCCACAGACTCCAGAGGCTTTCTTGGAGCCTGGGGAGGGCTAAAACAGCCTCCCCCACCCGAAGCCAGAAACGGCCCATTTCCCGACTTCTGGTGGGCCCGAAAGGCCTGTTTTTTGCTCTCCCGAAAGGCCTGAAAACCAGCTTCCTCCATCCCTCCATCCCTCTCCCTCCATCCTTCCCTCCCTCTCTCTCCCTCCCGCGCTCGCTCTCTCTCTCTCACCAAGCAAGGAAACCTAGGGGCCCAAATCTCATCTTGCTCTGCAGCTGTCCTTCACCTGTGGGAAGGACACTGCGAAATCCCTCCCCATTCCCTCCCCACTCCTGTGGGAAGGACATTGCAAAATAGTGGGAAGGACATTGCAAAATCCCCATTCCCTCCCCACTCCTGTGGGAAGGACATTGCAAAATCCCCATTCCCTCCTCACTCCTGTGGGAAGGATACTACAAAATCCCCATTCCCTCCTCACTCCAGGGGAAGGATACTGCAAAATCCCCATTCCCTCCCCATCTCTGGGACCAGCCAGAGGTGATATTTGCCGGTTCTCTGAACTACTCAAAATTTCCGCTACCGGTTCGTCAGAACCTGCTGGATTTCACCCCTGCTCTTATCTAACCATTGCTTGGCCTGCCGTTCTTTGTCCCGTCTCCAAAGCTCCTTCTCACATACTGTTACACCACCACCCCTTTCCCACAACCTTAACACATGTCGAAAAAGGTGTGCTTTTGTTGAGAACAACAACAAACAGACTCAACGTTTTAAAAATGCCAGATTACCTTGATTTGGAAGATCTGGGAACTCGGCTGAAATGTAAACATACGCACTGAATAAGTAGTTCCCACACACACCCATCCTGGCTTGGCAGATAGGTCACCTTTTAATGAGGTAGCTTTTAAGTACATGTAGTAGAACTTGTAAGTAAGTAAAATGTAGTAGGACCTGTGTCCGATCACCACAGTTCACAAGTAGAATTACAGGGCTGTAGAATTACAGGACTGACTAGGCGGCTCAGTGGCTAAGACACTGAGCTTGTCGATCAGAAAGGTTGACAGTTCGGCGGTTCGAATCCCTAGTACAGGTCTCATGCGTGAGCAAGGGAGGGTTGGACTAGATGACCTCCAAGGTCCCTTCCAACTCTGTGTTACATCTGGATTACAACAGTTGGAAAGGCTGGACAATTTTTCTCCCAAACATACCAAGTATACAATCACTGTACATTTATATACACACCAACAAAGGCACAAGGGAGACTTCTACTACAATTATTTCCATGATGGTCTTCTTTGACAATAATACATCCAAGTTGTCCTCTATTCAACCTTCCAGAGATTCAATCACATCTGGAGATACGTTATTCCTACTGTCCAGTTCTGAAATCTTTTAGAGCACGGGTCTCCAACCTCGGCAACTTTTAAGACTTGTGGACTCCAACTCCCAGAATTCCTCAGCCAGCTTTGAATCAAGGTTGGAGATCCTTGTTTCTAGAGCACTGTTCCTCAACCTTGGCCATCTTGGGATATATAGACTTCAACTCCCAGAATTCTCTGATGGTTGGGGGGATTCTGGGGGTTGAAGTCCACAAGTCTTAAAGTTGCCAAGGTTGGAGATCCTTGTTCTAGAGCACTGTTCCTCAGCCTTGGCCATCTTGGGATGTATAGACTTCAACTCCCAGAATTCTCTGCTGGTTGGGGGATTCTGGGAGTTGAAGTCCATACATTTTTAAGGGGCCCAAGGGGGTTAGAAACACTGCTTCTGGGGTAATTCTCTTCCGCAGATCCTCATGACAAAGAAACCTGGAAGGTCCATTCTTCCATCTTTATTTTATGGGTGCTTAATAAAATACTTTGGCCCACCGCAAATCAGGATTTCTACGTGCAGATCTTTATTTCCCTTGCCCGAATTTCCCAACACTGATCTTCACCCTTGTCCCTTCAGAAATCGTAGCAATTTTCTCACTTCCCAGGTAAATTTGACTGACGTTCTACCTCCTTTCATTCTACCTGTGCCCAAGTGATTAGAAGACGCCTCTCAGAGGAAGGACGGCAGATACAACACAAGCCTCCTTCAACAAACCAACCCACTTTCCAAATATTGCTCGGGTGTGACGAAGAGGACAAGAAAGTCCTCGTGGTCAATCATCATCTCCTTCGGTCTCCTATCGGAACTCAAACTCAAAATTCTTGAGATCAACAACGGAGTCAGTCTTTGCAGCAGGAACCTCTCCTGAATCTGCTCCTCACCGTTCCCCACGAGGGCAAATGCGTTCTTGGTGACCTCTCCTTTTCCACCCAGGGGACTTTGCAACGACACCACCAATCCACTCGGGGCACCCTTTCCTCCCCAAAGAACCTTCACGCTACTGATCAACCAGGTCCTATTTTCAGAAGGACCCATCGGAGGAAGCCAAGGGCTGGTTGAGTCCAGAAACTCGACGCCGATGGATTTTTGCCGAGTCAGCAAGGAGAGCATCCTTTTTGTGAAGCAGAGAAGGGTCCAGCTTGTATCTCCTGGGCCAATCCCAACCAGGATCCAAGGTTCCTCCAGATGAGACTTCCCCGACGGGTGGCAAACGTATCGCTGGATTGTTCTCCAGGTTGATTCCGGTTGGTTTGGGAAAAAGAGATGAAGAGATTGGAAATCTTCCTCGGGCAGATGAACAGTATTGGGACTCGAGGCCAAAGGAAAGTGGACAGTCTCATGACAAAGTAGGACCATTGACACAGAGACAAAGACGAGAGCCAGGAAGGCTGCCAGAAAGACGGAAGGGAGGCAATCAGATTCCTGAGGCTGCCAAGATGGACTTTCCGAACATCCAGACTTCTCATCTGCCTGGTCCTCAGCGTCCTTCCTCACTCCACAACAAAGTTCTGGCAAGTTCCCATTGTCCGTGCGACTTTCATCGTCCTTTCGTCTTTCCTGCATCTCTCCGTCTTTTAGCACAGAGGAAGGAAAACGACAACAATACAACAATCGTGAGTTTAAATTTTTTTTAAAAAGCAGGATGAGATGCTTCAAATGCTTGCATTCTTGTTGTGGCCCGCCAGCGGATCTGGCAGCAGATTCGGACAGTGGGGAGGTTGGGGAAGGAACCTGGACCAGTCCTGGAGTCTGGGGAAGGCTCTGATGAGGGCTCTGCGTCGGAGGCAGAGAGGGAGCCAGGGCCATCTGACAGTTATCAGCTGCCTTCGGAGTCAGACATCAGTGGGGCAGAAGAACAGCTGCAGCCTGTCCCCAGTGTGCGCATGCGCAGAGCTGCCAGATGAAGGGAACAGCTAAAGAACAAGGGTCGACTCAGGAGTAAAGCCACAGGTGGACGGTGAATGGCCCCTCCCAGAGGGAATAAAGAGGAGCAAAAGGGGAGTGGAGTTTGCAGGAGACAATTAGTTCACTTAATTGGTTGCCTGGCAGCTCCCCAAGCCAGATAAGGTAAATTCACCCTGGAAAGACTTTTCTGGATGTGAATGAGTAGAATTCACATTAACTTAATAAAAAGGGTTTTTTGTCGGGACAAGGAGTCTGTTTCATGCTCTTGGGAAGGCTAGGTCAGAACAATTCTGAATCAAGAGGCAGGATCTCCCTGCTGATTACTCCCTGCCAAACTCTTTCCTAAAGCTCCTTGCTAGTAAATAACTAAACCTTCAAGGAACGGGCTCGTCTAGAATTGTTCCCTGTTAAAATAGCTTTCTGGTTGCAAGATGCAATTACATACTTTATGGGAAAAATTAAAAGTTTGGGCATGTGCATATCCAGCTGTTCTCAACGGATGGGAAAACCAAAAATAATTCGGTGAAGTTTATATGTGTCTTTCAACTTCAAGGCCTCTTGTAGCAGGGAATTCCATAACTGAGCATTAGGATTGGGGGAAAAAAACCCCATGATTATTAACCAAGAAATTGCTAAGTGACAACAGCTACTTACTGTCCGCCGAGCAACCCAACATTTCCTGAGTCGGCCTCTGTTTACAGAGTTCTGCTGATCATCTGACTCCTATTAAACCAAGGAGAGAAAATAAGAAGCATATTCCTGTCGCGTTTTGTTAAAGCCAAAGAACGAATCTTCGAAACTTAAATCAACATTTTCCTAAGCAGAAGCCCACTGCAATTATTTTTTTATTTTATGAAGGATCCCTGGAACTTTCTGAGCTTGGGTGTTTTTCTTGCAGGCGTTTTATTACGCTCGCACTGATGGCGTTACCAAGTTTGGTAATGAAACGTTGCAAGAAAACCAAGAACTCCTCAATTTCAACTCCGACCTACAAATCTTCTCCTTTATTGGATATTTCATTTATTTTTATTTTAAAAGCCACCCACACTGGCTTGCCAGGAAGGCCAGTTTTGCAAAATTTTTGCTAACAACAGCCCTTCTGCCATCCTCCGCTCTTTTTCCAACTTTTCAGGAGTTAAAAGCACTATTATTTTTCCCGATTGACCTCTTCCACTCCTCCGGTTTAATGGAAGGAAAAGAAAGGAAACGATGAGATGACATTTCAAGAATTCATTGGAAGCTCACAAACGTTTAACGACACCCTGTTAAAGAGTTGTTTATGAAATAAAGCCCTTTTTGAATGCTTTTCATTTGTGACATTTGGGTATGTATATTCTGCAAGTAGACAATTAGCACCTCTGGGAGAGGATCTTCACTTGTAGCAGCCTTCAGAGTTTCTGTGCTATTTTTCTCTTGCAGGGATTGACTTTCTTGATTTCATGATGGATTTTTTTTTAAAAAAAAATGAATAAATGTTATTTTGATGGGGGAATTTCAACATACTATAATCACCGTCCCCGATAAGAGAAAAACCACCACATCTCCAAAAACATTCTCCTTTAAGAGGCCAAGGGTTGAAAAATAACTTCGAAATAGCTCGAAGTAGAAGAACTGGAAAATTGACTCGGATGTTCAACTTTGCTCCAGCTCGCTTCCTGCTTTTCGCTTTCGTTGAAAAATATATATATATATTTTAAATATTGTATGAATTTTTCGATAAACACAAAAGCAAAAACACACCTACAAAAATACCCCCCCCCCAAAAAAAGGAATACAAAGATATAAAAAAATAACATTTTTTTATGCGGAACTCTGTCCATTTACAAAACTTATCCCTATAAAGTACTTATGCTCTCCATATTTTACTTCATCAAATTTTGTTGTGTCTGAGCCCGTTTCGCCTTTCTCTTTTTAATCTCCCTCTCCCTCCCTATTTCCCCGCTCTCTCTCCCCCCTCCCTCCCTCTTTCCCCCCTCTTTCTCTCTCCCTCTCTCCTTCCCTCTCTTCCCTCCCTCTCTCCCTTTCCCCCTCTCTCCTTCCCTCCCTTTCTCTCTCCCTCCCTCTCTCTTCCTCCCTCCCATTCCCACTTTCTCCCTCTCCCTCCCTCCCTATTTCCCCGCTCTCCCTCCCTCCCTCCCTCTCTCTCCTTCCCTCCATTTTTTAAAAAAAATTTGATTTATATGCCGCCCTTCTCCGGAGACTCAGGGCGGCTTACAATGCATTAAGCAATAGCCTTCATCCTTTTGTATATTTATACAAAGTCAGCTTATTGCCCCCACAATCCGGGTCCTCAATTTACCTACCTTAGAAAGGATGGAAGGCTGAGTCAACCTTGAGCCTGGGGAGATTCAAACCCTGCAGTAATTGCAGGCAGCTGGTCTTAATAACCAGCTTAATAACAGGGTGCCTTAGACCACTGTACTACCAAGGCATTTAAAGGCATAAACTACTGTGCACTGTGAAGTTTTCCCTCAGGTCCTCCTATGAAGATGAAATAGATAGGCATAGCTGAAAGCCACAGTTTACTGCATTGCGAAGTCTTCACTCAGGTCCACTTCTCTTCCCCCCCCCATATTCCTCCCACACTCTCTCTCCCCCTCCCACCCTCCCCTCTCTCCAAGCTATAAATTACTTTCCAACATGAAGTCTTCACTCAGGTCCTCGCAGATTACATAAATACACTCAGCTATAAGCTACGCTACTGTACATTATTAAGTCTTCACTCGGGTTAATTTTTACACACACACAACATTTAAACTCTACAAAAACACAAAGAAACACAAACACACAAAGACAAAACGGACAGACACACACACACAGTCATGTCTTTATTTTGGTCCTCTGTCTCACACACACACACACCCCTCTTACATTTAAAGATATAAATGACCAGTATTTATTTCCTATTTAATTTTACCTCAGTTCCTCATACATCGATTAAGTAGATATCGATATAAGTTATCATCTCCGTTTCAAGATAGGCTACTGTGGACCCTAAAGTCTTCACTCAGGTCCTCACATTAAATAGGCATAACTATAAGCCACAGTAGGGTGCATTGTGAAGTCTTCACTCTGGTCCATCTCTCTCTCTCCCTCTCCCTTCCCCCCCTCTCTCTCCCTCCCTCTCTCTCTCCCTCTCTTTCTTTCCCCCTTTCCCTCTCTCTCTTTCTCTCCATCTCCCCCCCTCCCTCTTTCTCCCTCTCTCTCTCTCCCCCTCTCCCTCCCTCTCTCTTTCTCTCCCTCTCCCCCTCTCCCTCCCTCCCTCCCTCTTTCTCTCTCCCTCTTTCTCTCTCTCTCTTTCTCCATTTCTCCCTCCCTCCCCTTATGCATAGAAAGTTCTACTGAAGACTTAAAGTTTTCACTCAGGTCCTCATTTACAGATTAAATAAATAGGCATAGCTATGAACCACAGTACGTGAAGTCTTCACTCTGGTCTCTCCCTCCCTCCCTCCCTCCCTCCCTCCCTCTCTCTCTCTCTCTCTCTCTCCCCCCCTTCCCTCCCTCCATAAACCCAACTACTTCTTCATGTGAGGATCTGAGGGAGAAGAAGAAAACCTGTCAATCACCCATGGACCCTTTAAAAAAAAAAAAAACACCATTGAAACTGCCTAAGGTTTTACTAGGTTTTTAACTGCTACGAATGGGATTTTATTGGGCAGCCTATCCCTGAATCCTCCCTGGAGTAAGGGAGGTGGGGGGGGGGAAAAAAACAGCATAAGCACCAAATAAAATAAACCCATCCGCCCATATCAATCCTCAAAGGGTGGGACTACCTCAATCTTCCTTGCAGCTGCTCTCCAGAGGCGTTAAGGACAATGGAGGAGGAAAGTTAAAACTCCAGGGTTTTTCTTCCAAGCAGCAAATCTTCCAATTGCAAGTTGCTTGCTTTATTGTTTTTTTTAAAAAATTGTTTGAAAGTTCAGGCTTGTCTTGGCAAACTCTTCCTGGCAAGCTCCCATGGACTTCTCACCTGTATCTAGGTAAAATGTTCTTGTGGTTGTGCAACTGACAACTTTTTCTCCTTCTGTACTGCAAGGGTAGCTAGTTTGGTCTACGCGCTCCAGAGGTTAAGGCATTAGCCTTTTAGAAAGAAGGAAGGGTGGAAATTCTAGCCCGGCCTCAGTTACGAAAGCCAGCTGGCCAGTCACACACATACACACGCACACTCCGCCAAACTCAACCTCGCAGGGTTGTTGTGGGGAAATATCGCAATGGAAGTCAGTTTGGTTTGGTAATTAAGGGACAGGAGGACTCTTGAGTCTCTGGACCATGAATCCTAGTCCCATCTTAGCCACGAAAGCTGGCTGGGTGACTTAGCTCTAATCGCCGGGAGATGGGGAGTTCTAGTTCCGTCTTAGCCATGAAAGCCAGCTGGGTGACTTTGCCCCAATCGCCGGGAGAGGGTGAGTTCTAGTTCCGTTTTAGGCATGAAAGCCGGCTGGGTGACTTTGCGCCAATCGCCAGGAGAGGGTGAGTTCTAGTTCCGTCTTAGCCATGAAAGCTAGTTGGGGACTTTGCCCCAATCGCCGGGAGGGGCGAGTTCTAGTTCCGTTTTAGGCATGAAAGCTGGCTGGGTGACTTTGCGCCAATCGCCGGGAGAGGGTGAGTTCTAGTTAGTTCCGTCTTAGCCATGAAAGCTAGTTGGGTGACTTTGCCAATCGCCGGGAGAGGGCGAGTTCTACTTCCGTCTTAGGCATGAAAGCCGGCTGGGTGACTTTGCGCCAATCGCCGGAGAGGGTGAGTTCTAGTTCCGTCTTAGCCATGAAAGCCAGTTGGGTGACTTTGCACCAATCACTAGGAGAGAGGTGAGTTCTAGTTCCGTTTTAGGCATGAAAGCCGGCTGGGTGACTTTGCGCCAATCGCCGGGAGAGGGGGGAGTTCTAGTTCCGTCTTAGCCATGAAAGCCAGTTGGGTGACTTTGCACCAATCACTAGGAGAGGGTGAGTTCTAGTTCCATTTTAGGCATGAAAGCCGGCTGGGTGACTTTGCGCCAATCACCAGGAGAGGGTGAGTTCTAGTTCCGTTTTAGGCATGAAAGCCGGCTGGGTGACTTTGCGCCAATCGCCCAGAGAGTATTTGCCGGTTCTCCGACCTGCTCAAAATTTCTGCTACTGGTTCTCCAGAACCTGCTGGATTTCACCCCTGTCCTTGGTGCTCTCTGAGCTTTCTTGGTTTTCTTGCAGACGGTTCGTCACCCAAACTAGGTTACATCATCAGTGTTTCATCACCCAAGCTAGGGAACATCACTGATGATGTTACCACTAGTGTAGGTAATAAAAGGTCTGCAAGAAAAACAAGAAAAAAGAGAGAGAGAGAGAGAGAGAGAGCCTTGGTGGCGCAGCAGACTAAAGTGCTGTTAAGTAGCACCAGCTGCCTGCAATTACTGCAAGTTCGAATCTCACCAGGCTCAAGGTTGACTCAGCCTTCCATCCTTCCGAGGTAGGTAAAATGAGGATCCGGTTTGTGGGGGCAATAAGCTGACTTTGTATAAAAAAAGAACACCGCTTGGGGGGGGGGCAAAAGCCCTACTAAGCAGGTATATACAAAAGTATGAAGGCTATTGCTTAACGCATTGTAAGCTGCCCTGAGTCTCCGGAGAAGGGCAGCATAGAAATCGAACCAATAAATAAATAAATAAATAAATAAAACAAGCAAACTCAAGACAGCACCAAGGATCCCTCATAGGTATATAAATTGGAAATTAAATTAAATTAAATTTTCATGGTTAGCAGTTGAAGGTTTTATAAGGCAAGCTGGATTGAAGCCTGGAAATTCCCAAGGGTGTGGGAAATAAAACCTGAGGCTCTGAATTTGCTTCTTGGCGGAGAACATGCTCTCTAATTAATGGAGGGGGAATTCTACAGCAAGAAGGATATTTTTCAATATTTTTTTTTTAAAAAAAGAGCAAAATGAAAAAGGAGAGGATTCCTGCATGTTTAATACCTTTAACTTCATCAGTTAACAGTTGATTGAACTATATCGATTAAATTTAATACAGGAATGATAAAATGTTTTTTTAAAAAAATTATGCGAGGCAAGGATCAAGAAACACCGGTGTACTTTTCGGGATGAGGAGATTCACCCACAACTGAGAAAAGAACTTTATAGGAGCCACAAAAATATTTTTTTAAAAAAAGAGCAGGCAACGTTTTTAATCCTTTAAAAAAAAAAAAATCAGCACACTTCTAGAAATCTCCCTCCGTTCAGTTTGTCAAACTTGAACTATCTTTCTCCAGAGCAGGGGTGAAATTCAACATTTTTCCCTACCGGTTCTTGGCGGGCGTGACAGGGGAAGGATACTGCAAAATCCTCATTCCCTCTCCACTCCTGGGGGAAGGGTATTGCAAAATCTCCATTCCCACCCCACTCTGGGGCCAGCCGGTATTTGCCGGTTCTCCGAACTACTCAAAATTTCCGCTACCGGTTCGCCAGAACCTGTTAGAACCTGCTGGATTTCACCCCTGCTCCAGAGGCAGCCGAGTTTATTTGGATCAGGTGAATAGAAAAATCTACGAAGACCAGGAAAGGTTCAAAACAGGACCCATTTCTCAAGAGGTTTTATTTATAGTCCGCTCGACTACAAGACTCTTGTTTGGGAAATGTCAGCCTAGATGAGTTTATACTGGAGTTTCCCCAATTTCTAGAACGACTTTAAATACCAGAAGCTTGCGACACATAAACCACACCATCACCCACAGCAGATGGCTTGGTTAAATGTTGGTCATCAGAACCCCAGTGATGCTACTCCGAAGGAGGGGGAGAAGGGTAAAGGGAGGGGGGTTGGGGAGAGAGCACTGGACCTGAGTGAAGACTTCTCAATGCATAGTACTGTGGCCTATGTCTACGCCTATCTATTTAAGCTGTATATGAGGACCTGACTGAAGACTTCATGCTGCACAGTAATTTATACCTTTAAATGGGGGGGGAGGGGGGGGAGAGAAGTGGACCTGAGTGAAAACTTCTCAATGCATAGTACTGTGGCCTGTATCTATGCCTATCTATTTAAGCTGTATATGAGGACCTGAGTGAAGACTTCATGGTACACAGTAATTTATATCTTTAAATGGGGGGGGGGAGGAGAAGTGGACCTGAGTGAAGACTTCTCAATGCATAGTACTGTGGCCTATATCTGTGCCTATCTATTGAAGCTATAGATGAGGACCTGACTGAAGACTTCATGCTGCACAGTAATTTATATCTTTAAATGGGAGGGGGGAGAGGGAGAGAGAGAGGGAGGGAGAGGGAGGGTGGGGGGGGAGAGAAGTGGACCAGAGTGAAGACTTCTGAATGCATAGTACTGTGGCCTATATCTACGCCTATCTATTTAAGCTATAGATGAGGACTTGACTGAAGACTTCATGGTGCACAGTAATTTACATCTTTAAATGGGAGGGGAGAGAGAGAGAGAGGGAGGGGGGGGGGGGGGGGAGAAGTGGACCAGAGTGAAGACTTCTCAATGCATAGTACTGTGGCCTATATCTACGCCTATCTATTGAAGCTATAGATGAGGACCTGACTGAAGACTTCATGATGCACAGTAATTTATATCTTTAAATGGGAGGGGGAGAGAGAGAGAGAGAGAGAGAGAGAGAGGGAGGGTGGGGGGGAGAAGTGGACCTGAGTGAAAACTTCTCAATGCATAGTACTGTGGCCTATATCTATGCCTATCTATTGAAGCTATAGATGAGGACCTGACTGAAAACTTCATGATGCACAGTAATTTATATCTTTAAATGGGAGGGGAGGGGGGAGAGAGAGAGAGAGAGAGAGGGAGGGTGGGGGGGAGAGAAGTGGACCTGAGTGAAAACTTCTCAATGCATAGTACTGTGGCCTATATCTATGCCTATCTATTGAAGCTATAGATGAGGACCTGACTGAAAACTTCATGATGCACAGTAATTTATATCTTTAAATGGGAGGGGAGGGGAGAGAGAGAGAGAGAGAGAGGGAGGGTGGGGGGGAGAAGTGGACCTGAGTGAAAACTTCTCAATGCATAGTACTGTGGCCTATATCTATGCCTATCTATTGAAGCTATAGATGAGGACTTGACTGAAAACTTCATGATGCACAGTAATTTATATCTTTAAATGGGAGGGGAGGGGGGAGAGAGAGAGAGAGAGGGAGAGGGAGGGTTGGGGGGGGAGAAGTGGACCAGAGTGAAGACTTCTCAATGCATAGTACTGTGGCCTATATCTACGCCTATCTATTTAAGCTATAGATGAGGACCTGAGTGAAGACTTCATGGTACACAGTAATTTATATCTTTAAATGGGAGGGGAGGGGGGGAGAGAGAGAGAGAGGGGAGAGGGAGGGTTGGGGGGGGAGAAGTGGACCTGAGTGAAAACTTCTCAATGCATAGTACTGTGGCCTATATCTATGCCTATCTATTGAAGCTATAGATGAGGACCTGACTGAAAACTTCATGATGCACAGTAATTTATATCTTTAAATGGGAGGGGAGGGGGGGAGAGAGAGGGGGGGGGGGGGGGGGGGGGGGGGGGGGGGGGGGGGGGGAGAAGTGGACCTGAGTGAAAACTTCTCAATGCATAGTACTGTGGCCTATATCTATGCCTATCTATTGAAGCTATAGATGAGGACCTGACTGAAGACTTCATGGTGTACAGTAATTTATACCTAAATGGGAGGTAGGGAAGGAGAAGAGAAGTGGACCTGAGTGAAGACTTCACAGTGCAGGCTTATAGCTATGCCTGTCTACATAAGCTGTAAGAGAGGACCTGAGTGAAGACTTCACTCTGCAGCAGGACTTTCTGTGTACTGTATGTATAAAGGAGGGAAACACACGGAGAGAAAAACAGAGACAAATGGCTGCTCAGTCTCTTCTGAAAAGCCTCCAGTGATGAAACAAGCACAACTTCTGGTGGCAAGTCGTTCCACTGGTTAATTGTTCTGTCAGGAAATTTCTCCTTAGTTCTAGGTTGCTTCTCTCCTTGGTGAGTTTCCACCCATTGCTTCTTGTCCTGCCCTCAGGGGCTTTGGAGAATAGCTTGACTCCCTCTTCTTTGGGGCAGCCCCTGAGATACTGGAACATACTTCTATCACGTCTCCCCTGGTCCTTCTTTTCATTAAACTAGACATACCCAGTTCCTGCAATCGTATGTTTCAGCCCCTTAATAAGCAATGTTAGTAGGTTCTTGCTTTGGGGATTTTCCCCACGTGGGGCAAAGGGGGACACCCCCCCTACACACACACATTCAACAGTTGGACTATCCATGTTGAAGAATAACCACAGGAGAAGGCTGGGAAGGTTCTCCCAGTTATTTTGGCTGGCCATGATCAGAAAAAGGAGTGGGGGGGAATAGAGGGAGTCCTCTTCTTACCAAGGAAGAAAGGTTGAGGTGGATTTAGCAGAGGAAATGGGGTAGACCGAAATAATATATACTCTCTCTCTCCCCCTCCTCTTCCTCTCTCCCTCCCTCTCTCTCCCTCCCTCCCTCTCTCCCTCTTTCTTTCTCTCTCCCTCTTTCCCTCCCTCTCTCCCTCTTTCCCTCCCTCTCCCTCCCTCTTTCTCTCACTCTCCTTCTCTCTCCCTCCCTCTCTCTCTCCCTTTCCCTCCCTTTCTCTCTCCTTCTCTCTCCCTCCCTCCCTTTCTCTCCCTTTCTCTCTCCCCCCTCTCTCTCCCCCTCCCTCTCTCCCTCCCTCTCTCGTCACCCTCTGTTATCTTGCTCCACAGCCGGTTTCTTCACCCACTTCTTCACTTCCTCTTCTCCAACCCGTGATTTTTTTCCCCCAAATTGCACATCTTGGTCTTCTTTCCTTTCGTTTTCTCCCTTCCTTCCTTCCTCGCTTGTTCAGCTCCGAAAGCTCCCTTGGCTGCCCGTCGGAGGAGAAACCTTTGCGTGGCTGTCTGACTCCCCATCTTCTCCCTGCTTTTCTCTTCTCCTCTCAGGGAGCATCCCACACCTTCAGCCACCCTGGAGGCCAACATCACCGAGCCGCTGCTGGCCCACGAGCCCTTGGAAGATTACGGGTCGTTGAGAGAGAAGGACCCTCGACAGGCGGAAAAGGAATATTACAGGTACCGTTTCCATTTCTCTTGAACTCCCGTGAATGCCTCCATGCCCATTGGATTCTGCCAATGGAGAACAGGTTGTTTTGATATGCTGCCTTCACTTTCACTCAAGGTGCTAGTCCTCATCATCAGTAGAAAAAATCTACACCCACTCTCCTCCATCTGTCTTTTCTTCCTCTGCTCTTTCCCCCCTTTCGCAGTTTGATAACACAAACGGGTTGATGCTTTTCTCCCAACTTGTTGTTACGTATTAGGAAATCAATGGGATTTGATTCAATTAAACATATGGGAGACCAGCCGTGGATTATGGGCTGTAGGAAGACTAACTAGGGAGTAAAAAAAAGAAAAAAAGGCAATCAATGGTAAATGGATAAATGGATTGGCAACCCCTTCTATACCTTGTCAGGAAAAACTACATCTTCAAAAGTGGATCTCGGTTCCAAGGGGACCTTTTAAATTTACTATTTTCTCAGTTCCGTCTCAGATGTAGAGCTGACTTTCTCAACTTCCCTTCTTCTCTCCCGACCACACAGTTACTGGCACATATTTTTTTTTTAAACATCCTTTCAACTTCAGCTTTCCTGCAGCCTGTCTTGAGTCAGCTTTTGCAGAAGGAAAAGGAATCGGCAGATCCGCTGGTTTGCTCTTGTACGGCAGAATATTTGAGGGGCTTGCCACAAAGAAGACGGGGTGGATGGGTGGAGCACCTGGAGAGCAGGAGAAGAAGCAACGGATGGAAACTCATCAAGGAGAGAGATATAAAATGATTTGAGATTCCTGAAAGAGCACAGAGAAGAGCAACAAAGATGATTAGGGGACTGGAGGCTAAAACATATGAAGAGCAGGTGCAGGAACTGGGTATGTCTAGTTTAATGAAGAGAAGGACTAGGGGAGACATGATAGCAGTCTTCCAATATCTCAGGGGCTGCCCCAAAGAAGAGGGAGTCAAGCTATTCTCCAAAGCACCTGAGGGCAGGACAAGAAGCAATGGGTGGAAACTAATCAAGGAGAGAAGTAACTTAGAACCAAGGAGAAGTTTCCTGACAGTTAGAATAATTAACCAGTGGAACAACTGGCCTCCAGAAGTTGTGAATGCTCCAACACTGGAAGCTTTTAAGAAGATGTTGGACAACCATTTGTCTGAAGTGGTATATAGGGTCTCCTTGTTTGAGCAGAGGGTTGGACTAGAAGACCTTCCAACTCTCTTATTCTGCACTCTTGTCTTTAAAAGACATTTTGCTTCTGTCTGATTCACAGTTCGCCTTCAGCCCTTCTGAGGGGGTCTCTCTCTTTGCTTCCTATTTTCCCTGCCCAGGTCACTTGGAAACCAGCGTCTCCTCCTTGCCAGCTTCGCGGCCGTGTTGGGGAATTTCAGTTTCGGCTTTGCTTTAGTGTACACCTCGCCCGTCATACCAGCTCTGGTGAAATCTCCAGTCCCCAACTTGCAACTAACCGAGGTTACCGCTTCCTGGTTTGGGGTAAGTGGAGTAAATTGAGGAATCCAGTAACCCAGTGATAGGTTGCTCCCGGTTCAGTCCGGTTCTTGCGAACTGGTAGTAAAAGGGCATTTAAGAGTTGTTAACCTAATCTTGCGTAGCTTCTTCTCTGGTAATATTGTACTATTAACTAGAGCATACAAAACCTTTGCTAGACCAATTCTTGAATACAGCTCATCTGTCTGGAACCCGCACTGCATATCGGACATTAATACAATCGAGAGAGTCCAGAGATATTTTACGAGAAGAGTCCTCCATTCCTCTACCCGCAATAAAATATCTTATGCCACCAGACTCCAAATTTTGGGCTTAGACAACTTAGAACTACGCCGACTTCAGTCTGACCTAAGCATAGTACATAAAATTATCTGCCACAGTGTCCTTCCTGTCAATGACTACCACAACAATACACAAGCAAATAATAGATACAAACTCAAGGTAAACCGCTCCAAACTCGATTGCAGAAAATACGACTTCAGCAACAGAGTGGTCAATGCCTGGAATGCACTACCTGACTCTGTAGTTTCTTCCCCAAACCTCCAAAACTTTTAACCTTAAACTGTCTACTGTTGACCTCACCGGCTGAGTCAACTTGGAGCAGGTCAGGATCGAACTGCTGGCAGGCGGCAGAGTTAGCCTGCAATATTGCATTCTAACCACTGCGCCACCGTGGCAAGGAAGGAAGGAAGGAAGGAGAAAAGGAAGGAAGGAAAGAAAGAAAGAAAGAAAGAAGGAAGGAAGGAAGGAAGGAAGGAAGGAAGGAAGGAAGGAAGGAAGGAAGGAAGGAAAGGTAGCCCTTAGACTTATATACCGCTTCACAGTGCTTTACAGCCCTCTCTGAGCAGTTTACCGAGTCAGCATTTTGCTACCTCCAGGTCATCATTTAACCGACCTTGGAAGGATGGAATGCTGAGTCAACCTTGAGCTGGTCAGGATCGAACTCCTGGCAATGGGCAGAGTTTAGCCTGCAAGAGTCCATTCCAACCACTGCGCCATGATCGTGCAGTCTTCTCCACTGACCCTCCCTCTTCTCTTTCTGTCTTTTAGTCCATCTTCACCTTAGGAGTCGCCGCAGGAGGGCTGTGCACCATGTACTTCAATGACCGCCTGGGACGCAAGCTGAGCATCATGTTCTCCTCCGTCCCTTCTGTGATTGGGTACTTCTTGATGGCCAGCGCCAACAATATCTGGATGCTCTTGGTCGGGAGGCTTCTCACGGGCTTCGCAGGAGGAGTCACCTCGGCTGCCATTCCAGTGAGTATGGCCTCTTTCCATAGGTCCTTCTGTGGAAGATCTTGAGAACGTTGATGTTCCCGACTTTCGAGGAACTTCTTAGGGATGATTCAAGAGAAACTTGAATCAAATTTCAAGTTGGTTTGGAGTTTTCCTTTCCTTTCCTTTCCTTTCCTTTCCTTTCCTTTCCTTTCCTTTCCTTTCCTTCCTTTCCTTTCCTTTCCTTTCCTTTCCTTTCCTCTCCTCTCCTCTCCTCTCCTCTCCTCTCCTCTCCTCTCCCCTTTCTCCTTTCTCCTTTCTCCTTTCCTTTCCCTTCTCCTCCCCTCCCTCCCTCCCTCCGTCCCTTCCTTCCCAGGATTTCCTCTTTTTTATCCTATAAAAACCAGCTTTTTCTTACCTAACTGCCCTGAGTCTTCGGAGAGGGGCGGCATATAAATTGAATTAATTAAATTAAATTAATTAAATTAACTGCAGAAAGGCAATAAGTATCTTGAGAAGATTATCAGCTCTGGCTCCGAAATGCCTTGGTTCCCACAGCAGAACCACTTATTTTTTTTTTAAAAAAAATCTTTTTGGCTTCTCCAGGTCTACATTTCCGAGATCTCCCACCCAGGAATCCGAGGGGCGTTGGGCTCCTGTCCTCAAATCATGGCTGTTTTGGGCGCCCTCTTCCTTTACGCTTTAGGCAAGTACTAAACCACCGTTCACTGCAGTCGTGAAGTTAGTGACGCGGTCGTTAAGCGAGCATTGATTTTGCTTGTCAGAAGGTCGCAAAAAAAGGGACCTGTGTGTCCCTGGGGCATTGCCACCGTCCTAAATATGAGCCAGTTGCTAAACATCTGGATTTTTGCTCACGGGACCAGGAGGATGCTCAATCAATCAAATCAATTTTATTACAGTCTTAGACCAGAAACCAATAAAATCACTCGGTATAGATACACTTAAGACTTCTAGTATAAAATAATAAATGACAACTAAATCTATAATAAAATAATAAAATCCATTATACATTGTTTGACTATAGCAGGGGTCAGCAACCTGTGGCTCTGGAGCCGAATGTGGCTCTTTCATCCCTCTGCTGCAGCTCCCTATCACCAGTCGGCACCACAATTTTGAGAGGAGCTTCCGGTTGCGGGGGAAGTGGAGAAGCAGGGCATGCCAGGAAGAGACTCTATGGCAAGGGGCGGGTTTTCCAGTCAGCTCCGCAATTGATAGGGCTTTCGGTTAGGACAGGTAGAGGAAAAAGGACGCCGTGCTAGGAGGAGACTCTATGGTGGGGGAAACGGACTTCCGGTCAGCTTCCGGGGGGCTTCCGGTTAGGACCTTCGTGGCTCTTTGAGTGTTTAAGGTTGCCGACCCCTGGACTATACAATAGTTGCAATCCCTAAACTGTGTTGGCCCGTTGTGGGTTCAACACTAAAAGGGAAATGACTACGCTACAGGAGGATGCTGCAACGGCATCCTCCTGGATGGCCACAAGTCTTTTTTTTTTTCAGGGCCGTTGTAACTTCAAACGGTCACTAAATTTTGGAGTCTGAGAGGTAGGCAGCAATTGTTGCCCAGACAAAAGAGGCTGAAACGTTTTTTTCAGAACATTCTAGATAATATTCAGAAATAGCTCAGGCAAACACCTCCCCCCGATTCACAGGTGTATAGGAGGGGGGTGGGTTGAGATCAGAAGTGATATTCAGCAGGTTCTGACCAGTTCTGGAGAATCGGTAGCGGAAATTTTGAGTAGTGCAGAGAATCGGTAGCGGAAATTTTGAGTAGTGCAGAGAATCGGTAGCAGAAATTTTGAGTAGTTTGGAGAACCAGCAAATACCACCTCTGACTGGCCCCAGGAGTGGGGAGGGAATGGGGATTTTGCGGTATCCTTCCCCTGGAGTGGGGAGGGAATGGGGATTTTGCGGTATCCTTCCCCTGGAGTGGGGAGGGAATGGGGATTTTGCAGTATCCTCGCCCTGGAGTAGGGAGGGAATGGGGATTTTGCAGTATCCTTCCCCTGGAGTAGGGAGGGAATGAGGATTTTGCAGTATCCTTCCCCTGGAGTGGGCTGGAAATGGAGATTTTACAGTATCCTTCCACTGGAATTCACGGACTGGTGGATCTCACAGAGGAAGCTTCATAGTTTTGGCTGTGTCTTCTCCTCACCCCAGGTCTCGTGGTGCCCTGGCGTTGGCTGGCCGTTGCCGGAGAAGTCCCCGTTCTCCTCATGATCTCTCTCCTCTTCGTCATGCCTGACTCGCCGCGTTTCCTGATCTCTAAGGGGAAGGAAGACGAGGCGCTGCGCGCGCTCCGCTGGCTGAGAGGCAAGGATGTGGATTATTGGTGGGAATACGAGCAGATCAAAGCCAGCGTTCAGGAACAGGTAGGCCCACGTTAAAAAGAAAACTTCTTCTTCCTCTTCCTCCTCCTCCTCCTCCTTTTCACAAAACCCCCTCCCTTCTGGCACTGATGATATTACCTAGTTGGGTCATGAAATGTCTCCAAGAAAACCACCAAGCTCAGAGAGCATCAAGGACTCCATACTACTACTACTACTACTACTCCTTCCTCCTCTTCCTCTTCTCCTCCTCCTCCTTCACAAACCTCCCTTCTAGCACTGATGATGTTACCTAGTTGGGTCATGAAATGTCTCCAAAGAAAACCCCCAAGCTCAAGAGAGCACCAAGGATCCCACAATTCAACCCCGGAGCTCCAAATATTCTCTTCCATTTAACGTTCTCTTGTGTTTCTCCAGAGTCAACCCATTACTTGGACAGAAATCCGCAAACCTCACATCATCAAGCCCATCGCAATTACTTTGCTGATGAGGTTTCTACAGCAGCTTTCAGGCGTCACCCCAATCCTCGTCTACCTGCAGCTGATATTCGACAGCACGGAAGTGATCCTGGTAAGTCCACCCTTAGCCAACCTTAGCAACTTTTAAGGCTGGTGGACTTCAACTCCCAGAATCCCCCAAGTCAGCATCACCGGCTTGGGGAATTCTGGGAGTTAAAAATCGGCAGGTGTAGGCCAACGATGGATAAATCCAAGAAAAGAAAAGTTTCAGAAGAAAACAGAATGTTTAATTCAACTGCATAATTGAAATTTTAATTTGTTTTAAATTATTGGGATTTTTAATTGTCTTGGGCTAAATTATTTAATTTGGTATTAATTATGTTTCTAACTTTTGTATTTTATGTATTTTATTTTGTGCCTGTTCACCGCCCTGAGTCCTTCGGGAGTAGGGCGGTATATAAATTTAATAAATAAATAAAAATAAATAAATAATAAATAATATGCTAGTTTTGTGGCCAGTCAAGAAATAGTCAGGCAAGGGAAGGGTTTTGTGGCTCCCGGTGTTTTCTTTTCTGTGGGAAACGGGTCCAAATGGGTCTTCGGGTATTTAAGGTTGCAGATCCCTGGTTTAATGGGAGGAATCTCAATGAAAAGAAAGGAGAAAAACCCTCTATTTCCAGACCCATAAGTAATAAAATCATAGAATGAATGAATGAATGAATGAATGAATGAATGAATGAATGAATGAATGAATGAATCAACCAATTTGATTGACAGCTCACAGCCACTATTTTGACTTTTCAGGCCCCTGAATACGATGCTGTTATTGTGGGCGGCGTCCGCTTAGCCTCGGTCCTGGTGGCGGCTTTCTCGATGGATAAAGCTGGGCGAAAGATTCTTCTCTATGTCTCCGGTATGGGTTTTGTAGTCCTTCCTTTTACAAGCACACACATCTGCCTCTATACAGGTCGTCCTCAAAGTACGACCACAATGGAAACCAGAATTTCTGTGGGCATGTCTAGTTTAATGAAAAGAAGGACTAGGGGAGACATGATAGCAGTCTTCCAATATCTCAGGGGCTGCCCCCAAAGAAGAGGGAGTCAAGCTATTCTCCAAAGCACCTGAGGGCAGGACAAGAAGCAACGGGTGGAAACTCATCAAGGAGAGAAGCAACTTAGAACTAAGGAGAAATTTCCTGACAATGAGAACAATTAATCAGTGGAACAGCTTGCCTCCAGAAGTTATGGGTGCTCCAACACTGGAAGTTTTTAAGAAGATGTTGGATAACCATTTGTTTGCAATGATATTGGATCTCCTACTTGAGCAGGGGGCTGGACTAGAAGACCTCGAAGGTCCCTCCCAACTCTGTTCTTCTATTCTTTCTTTCCTAGCTTGCCTCATGCTCGCCTCAAACCTGACTTTGGGCTTCTACATCCGCTTCATCCCTCAACTTCTCCACAATTCTTCAACGCTGGTGGGGAACGGGACCCACGCGGGCCTCGGCGACACCTCCATGGTGGGTCTCACGGCGATTCCTCTGGTGGCCACCATGTTCTTCATAATAGGTAGGTCAGGAAGGGTTGGTTGCCAACTTTTGGGCTCCGGATCGACTTTCTGGAGGTTCTCTAGTGGGTTATAGGGAGGTGGCCAGAAGAAGACTTTAGAGTAGGGGTGAAATGCTACCGGTTCACACCGGTTTGGGAGAACCGGTAGTATTAAAAGCTACCAGTTCGGGCGAACCGGTATTTCCAACGATCAGCTGTGCCGCACGATTTATATTCGCTAGAAAGCAGGAAATCGTACGGCAAACTTGTTCCCTTCACCATAGTCTCCTCCTAGCGTGGCGTCCTTTTTCCTCTACCTGTCCTAACCGAAAACCCTATCAGTTATGGAGCCGACCAGCAACAGGGAGCCGCAGCAGAGGGATGAAAGAGCCACATGCGGCTCCAGGGCCGCAGGTTGCTGACCCCTCGTCTAGACATAGATAAAAGGTTTTTGGACAAGCACTCCCCAAATTTATCGCTTTTGCTGCATGGATCTGATAGGAGATGGAGATCCAAAACTTCAAACCGTCACTAAACGAATAGTTTTAAGTCAAGGACTAATTTAATTTCTCCTCTGCTTCTGACTTGTTTTTTGTTTTGTTTTGTTTCGATGATTCTTCTTTTCTTCTTCTAGGCTACGCCATGGGTTGGGGTCCCATCACATGGTTGTTGATGGCAGAGGTCCTTCCCCTGAAGGCACGAGGAGTGGTCTCCGGTCTTTGTGTACTTGTGAGTTGGTTGACTGCCTTCGCCTTGACCAAAGTCTTTCTGTTGGTTAAGGTAAGAACAATGGTGAAGGTGCATCTATAGGTTTAATCATCTCCTCGTTTCATCCGTGGGACAACTAGAGCCAGTCTTTCAAATTTAAACGGACCTGGTTTATACTTTGGAAAAGAGACCACTGTGAAATGCCCAGATAGTAGGCTAATCTGGGAAATCAAAACAGCCCATAGAAGAGAATATTTATAGCTCAGAATTGAACTACAATTGTTGTTTTCAGCTAGGTAACATCATCGGCGTTGGTAAGTGTGGGGTTTGTTCTCTGTTTATATACAGTGTATATACAGATAAGCGAGGATTTACACCAGACAAACAATCAAGCAGAAAACAATGCTCTAATCAAGGAGCTACCAAAGAGAAAACTACACCCCACCAATTCTGGAGTGTAGCGACTGTATATAAAGAGGGAGAAAACCCCACATTCACTACGATTGATATTGTTACCTAATTGGGTCATGAAATGCCTGCAAAAAAACAACACAGCTCAGAGCTATTATATATAAACAGGGAGGAAATCAAACTCCATCTAGTACTGATGATGTTACCTAGTTGGATCATGAAATGTCTGCAAGAAACTAAGGTCAGATCTACTGTATAAAAAGAGGGAGCAAATCGAACTCCTTCTAGCACTGATGATGTTACCTATTTGGGACATGAAATGTCTCTCTCTTTCTCTCTCTCTCTCCTCTCCCTCTCTCTCTCTCTCTCTCTTCTCTCTCTCTCTCCTCTCTCTCTCTCCTCTCACTCTTTCTCTCTTCTCTCTCTCTCTCTCTCTCCTCCCTCCCTTTCTCTCTTCTCTCTCTCCTCTCTCTCTCTCCTTTCCCTCGCTCTCTTCTTCTCTCTCTCTCTGTCTCTCTCCTCTCTGTCTCTGTCTTCTCTCTCTCCATTTCTCTCTCTCTCTCTCTCCTCCCTCCCTCTCTCTCTCCTCCCTCCCTCTCTTTCTCTCTCTCCTCTCTCTCCATCTCGTTCTCTCTCTTTTTGGTCAATACTTTTCTATCTTTCCTATCTGATCTGCTCAACTCATTTGTTCTAATTTCCCAGGAAACATACGGCCTGGAGGTGCCCTTTTTCTTCTTCAGCGTCATCTGCGTCATCAACCTCTTCTTCACCTATCTCATCCCCGAAACCAAAGGGAAATCCTTGGAACGGATCGAGTCATATTTCCGCACGGGGCGGAAATCATTCCTGGAATCTTTCCGGCACCAGAGGTGAGACCCCTGACTGAGCTCAACAACCCGACGTCTGGATGCTGAAAGCAGCCCCTTCCAATGGACATCAGCCTGTGGCTATCCATGCCGGTCCTTGTCTCCTGTCTCTCTCGCGCGCGAAAACCGGGAAGGGCCTCAAACCAACGTCGCGTCGCTCAGCTGAAACGTAATAATCCGAGCGATTCCAAGCAGAACGAGGAATTCTGGATCTCAAATCTCATCGTTGCCGGGAACTTATGACGGTGGCGTTGATCCCTTCCCAGCTGCAACGTGTAGGAAACGCTCCCACCGGCTTCAACCTGGCTTGTTGTTAAGAACGGCTGATAACCGTGGTTTAAATGATAGCGCTGCGTAAAACATGAAGCATGAGCCCGAGAAGAGGAGGTTAGTTTTTAACAAAAAAAATAACCCACAAATGTTTTTTAGACTTGGTGCGAGAGAGGAAAAAATGTTCCCAGTGGGAAATTTAGGGGTCTAGAGGGCAGTTTGAAGGAATATATTCAAGTGGTTTTTGTAGGTGGCTTTACTGGCAGATATGTTATATTACAGCTCTAACTTATTGGTATGCGTGTTTCTTTCAATGCTTTCAACCTTCAAGAAACGTGGGCTAAAGAGCAGAAGATTAAATACAGGCGGTTAGCAATGGCCCTTAGACTTATATACCGCTTCGCAGTGCTTTTACAGCCCTCTCTAAGCGGTTTACAGAGTCAGCCTCTTGCCCCCCAACAATCTGGGTCCTCATTTTACCCACCTCGGAAGGATGGGAGGCTGAGTCAACCTTGAGCCGGTTGAGAATTGAACTGATGGCAGTTGGCAGAGTTAGCCTACAATGCTGCATTCTAACCACTGCGCCACCAGCATGGAAGGAAGGAAAGAGGGAGAGAAGGGAAGGAGGGAGAGAGAGAGAGAAAGAAAAAAGGGAGGGAAGGAAGGAAGCAATAGCATTAGCACTTAGACTTATATCCCACTATTCATAGTGCTTTTACAGCCCTCTCTAAGCGGTTTACAGAGTCAGCCTCTTGCCCCCCAACCATCTGGGTCCTCATTTTACCCACCTCGGAAGGATGGGAGGCTGAGTCAACCTTGAGCCAGTTGAGAATTGAACTGATGGCAGTTGGCAGAGTTAGTCTACAATGCTGCATTCTAACCACTGCGCCACCAGCATGGAAGGGAGGGAGGGAGGGAGGGAGAGAGGAAGGAAGGAAGGAAGGAAGGAAGGAAGGAAGGAAGGAAGGAAGGAAGGAAAGAGTGAGAGAAGGGAGGCAGGGAGAGAGAGAAAGAAAAAAGGGAGGGAAGGAAGGAAGAAATAGCAATAGCACTTAGACTTATATCCCGCTATTCATATTGCTTTTACAGCCCTCTCTAAGCTGTTTACAGACTCAGCCTCTTGCCCCGCAACAATCTGGGTCCTCATTTTACCCACCTCGGAAGGACGGAAGGCTGAGTCAACCTTGAGCCGGTTGAGAATTGAACTGATGGCAGTTGGCAGAGTTAGCCTACAATGCTGCATTCTAACCACTGCGCCACCAGCATGGAAGGGAGGGAGGGAGGAAGGAAAGAAGGAGAGAAGGGAGGGAGGGAGAGAGAGAGAGAAAGAAAAAAGGGAGGAAAGGAAGGAAGGAAGAGCAAGAACACTTAGACTTATATACTGCTTCGCAGTGCTTTTACAGCCCTCTCTAAGCGGTTAACAGAAGTCAGCCTCTTGCCCCCAACAATCTGGGTCCTCATTTTACCCACCTCGGAAGGATGGAAGGCTGAGTCAACCTTGACCCTGGTGAGATTCGAACTGCCAAATTGCAGTCAGCCAGCAGTCAGCAGAAGTAGCCTGAAGTACTGCACTCTAACCACTGCGCCGCCGCGGCTCTTTCTCGACATACGACCAAAATCGGGCCCAGAATTTCCATTGCTAAGCAAGGCAACCGAGAACTGAGTTGCGCCTGATTTTATGACACCCCTCCCCTTTTATTTTGGTGGTTGTTAAGCAAATCATTGTGGTTGTTAAGTGAACGGTGCGGTCGTTCCCCGACTTCAGCTTCCCCTGCTGACTTGGCTTTGTCGGAAGGTCGAAAATTCGCGATACACGGGACGCTGCAGTTGTTGTAAATAACACACCAGCTGCCCTGAATTTTGATCACATGACCGTGTTGGAACGATGCGACGGTTGTAAATGCAAGGACCAGTCATCGGTTGCCTCTTTCGGTGCTGTTGTCACTTCAGACGGTCGTTAAACGGACCTGTCGTAAGTCGAGGAGCACCTGAACGGGCTTCGTTAAAACTCAAGAGCAGCAGAAGAAGCGTTTAGAATTGTCTTGGATTAAAAAGTCCGGAGAATTTCCACCCACTCCCAAGTTTTTCAAGCATTCTTCGTACATACCAAGATCCTTCCCAAAGAATTTAACAAAGAGGACTAGAAACTTAGAAGTTTTTGTTTTTTTTTAATGCTGTGGAAGGAATAGAAATGAAGTTAGCACTCATAAGGGGAAGTCTATAGAAAAGGTGACAAAAGATTATTTTTTAAAACAAAAATAGCAAAGAATTTACTCTTTTCTTTCTGAAGGACAGCAAAAAATTGCTCGCCTTTCAGTAAAAACACATTTTGATACCTTTTTGTATGCCCGCAATTGCTATAAAAAAAGCATTAAAACCACACACCTTATTACCAGAGGTAGAATGGTCTTTTTTTTTTTTATTCACTGCATACACAAAAGAAATTCCATCAGAGTCAGTTTTATAAAACGGCAGTTAAAGAGATCATTGTTTAAGAAAAACGCACTCTCTACAATCTAGGTGGTTTTTTTTCCCTTACAGACCAGCTTTTTATCTTTTAAGACCGCAGGGGGGGGGCGGTAGGACACAAAACCACTTGAGCTGCTGAGAGAATTTATAAATAAGGGGGTTTAGAAGCTGCCTGTTTGAATGAGATAAAAGTAAAATTTGAATTCACAGAGCCTTACTCTACAAAATAGACCAAGATTGCAGCTAAAATTAATACTTCGCCGCATTCCTTTCCCTTCCTACCTATAAATACTTCCGTTTTTGCCTTCTCATAAAGAAAAACAGTCGATTGAGAAGCAGAATCTCAATCGGTTTGGTGGGATTCGGCCTGGTCTCTCCGGGTCACGCGAACTGGTAGCGGTGACTGTAGGAGGCTCCGCCCACCCGCCCGGACGTAACGCATGACTACTGCGGATGCGCAGAAGTGCGCTCACATTTGCGAACCGGTAGGGAAGGTAAGTGAATCCCACCTCTGATCTCAATGCCATAACAACAGATCATAAGTCTAAAGTAGGAGTCGGCAACCTTAAACACTCGAAGAGCCACGAAGGCCCTAACCCGTTCAATTCTGGAGCCAACCGGAAGTCCGGTTCCCCCCACCAGTGTCTCCGCCTAGTGCGGCGTCCTTTTTCCTCTACCTATCCTAACTGAAAGCCCTATCAATTGTGGAGCTGACTGGTGACAGGGAGCCGCAGCAGAGGGATGAAAGAGCCAAATGCGGCTCCAGAGCCACAGGTGGCCGACCCCTGGTCTAAAGGAATATCACAAGAAGGTCAAATAAAATTTCAATGTATGTATGAATAAAACTTCCTCGATAATAAGTTAACCGTAAACCAACAGTGTAAATACGGGTGGACGGACAGAAAACTAACACAAGTGGTCCTCAGCTTACAGCAGTTCATTTAGTGACCGTTCAGAGTTACGACATCACTTTAAAAAATGACTTAAGACTGGTTTTTCATGCTTCGGACCGTTGCAGCATCCCCTTGGTCACGTGATCAAAATTAAGAAGCTTGGCAACTGGCATGTACTTATGACGGTTGCAGTGTCTCGGGGGGGGCGGTGTATCATGTGATCCCCTTTTGCGACCTTTTGACAAGCAGAGTCAGCAGGGAAGCCAGATTCGCTTAACAACCGTGTGCAGGGATTCACTTAATAATGGTGGTAAAATTCACTTAAAATGGGGCAAAAGCTCAGTTGTCGTCGTAAATCGAGGACTACCTGTATGGAAAACAAATGCAGAAAATATCGAAGGAATACAGAAGACACGGAAGTCCTTTCTCCACTAAATCTTCTCAAATTTATTCAAACCAAATTTGTCCGGCTGAGGGCAGGCCTTATATATCACGATAAAGCAAAGATGCTACGTGATTAAATGAAGAAATGGCCTGAGACTGTAAATTCCCTTTTTTCCCCTCCCGGCTTGGAAAACTCACAACAGAAAATGCACCTAGCCAAAATTTAAAAAAAGGACTGAAGTTTTGTGCTTTTCAGTTACGAAGAACTGAAATGGTTTTACAACCGTCATTGCTACCGGTTCAGTCAAACCGGGCCGAACCAGGAGCATTTCACCTGCCATTTACTCTTTTCCTAAGAAGATAACAAACTCGGTCTATCTTTGGCGCCCCCTGAAAATTTAAGAAAATTTGTGCTGCTGGGAATTTTTCCTTCGTTTTAACAGAGCAGTGAATTGGCCCAGCCTTACTCAACTGCTACGAAAACCTCTCTCTTTTTCGGCATTTGAACGAAATAGCCTTCGGTACGAAATTCTGAATTTCGGTTGCTGAAAAATCCTCGAATAAGGAAAAACCCCAAAAAGGGAAATAAGACACACCTGAAAGAAAATGATCGTTCCGGTATTTCTCCGCCTCACAAAACGCATCTCACAATCAAAACAACACTTCACTAATTTCTAACGATATGAAATCATAGCTCTCTTCAAAATTCAGAGAAAGGTTGCAAAAAAATCACCCTCCCGAATGCTTTGCAAAAATTTGGAGGTGAAAAAATAATGACACCAAAGTCACCTCACACTTTGGAGCGCAAAGAGTACATTTAGCCAGAGGAGAAAACAACAACAACAACAATCGAAGCTAAAATTCATTTTCGTCCTGTTCCGGTTTCAAAAATTGCTTCTTTTCCTTGATTCTGCGACTCCCCGACAATAATCAAAGATGGATTCCTTGCTGCAAATAAAAAAGGCAAAAATAATTTACTCTCGACTTTTAATTTGGGACGTTCGGTATTGCAATTCTCACCCCCCAAAAAAATCTTTCCACGTTTTGGGATGGTTGTCGTTTTTTTGCAAATAAAGTCGGACATCACTGCAATACACAAAGCTTCTAGAAAACCGTCGATTTCATCCTTCCCCTGCACGTACCCGAACGTCTGTTGTGTTTGTTTTTGTCGCGGCTGCGACGCGTTAAAAAAAACGCAGGGTTTTTAAAAGGCAGCGGAAACCGTGGCAACATTAGGAAGAGGAGATATTTCTTCTGCCCCACTCTTCAAAATTTGAGATGCGAACCGGAACGGATGCTTCCATCTCTTCGGAAAACAGCCAAAGAAAATTCACCTGGATGGGAAGATTTTTTTTTTTGCTCGCTTGCTTGCACCTGATTTGATTCCACTTTGACCTGAGATATTAAGCAGGGCTGGAAGATTTCGGGGAAGCGGGGCCAGACACAAACCCCGTTTTAAATCCTTGAAAAACTGCAGCATTATTAAAATTCACAGTGACGCAGAAATTCATTGTTGTTGTTTTTTAAAATGGAATTAAATTCGGAAGCACTTCAAAGAACACAGGCGACTCCGGAGTGGAAATCTGCTTCAAAACAGTGCGGTGAAAAACAAAAAAATGTCACACCAACTGCGCCTGCACGTTTTCTGTCGTCCCATCGCCGCCGGCTGGCTTCTGTTGAATTTGTTGCATCCTGGCGTACGCGATGGCATCTCCCCTGTGGAACACAACAGAGGTGTCGAGAAATCACTCCGTACAACTGCTGGTGCAGGCGGAACAGAATCGGATCCTAACCTGGGATAGGGGATCCGGTAGTCCTTCAAGAAAATCACCTCTTTTTAATTTAATATTTTCTTGACTACCCGGTCTAACTTAACAGATAGAATATTTGATATTAAACAGGATTGATTAATATTTGTAGCTCAGGATCAGAGGTGGGTTTCAGCAGGTTCTGACCAGTTCTGGCGAACCGGTAGCGGAAATTTTGAGTAGTTCGGAGAATTGGTAGTAAAAATTCAGACTGGCCCCGCCCCCATCTATTCTCCGCCTCCTGAGTCCCAGCTGATCAGGAGGGAATGGGGATTTTACAGTAACCCACTAAGCCACACCCACCAAGCCATGCCACGCCCACCAAGCCACGCCCACAGAACCGGTAGTAAAAAAGTTTGAAACCCACCACTGCTCAGGATTGAACTGTGGGGTCCTTGGTGCTCTCCGAGCTTGGTTTTCTTGCAGGCATTTCACGAGCCAACTAGATAACATTACTGGAGGTTTTTAAGAATGGATTGGAGAGATTGGGGTCTCCTGCCATGGGCAGGGGGTTGGACTAGAAGACCTCTAAGGTCCCTTCCAACTCTGTTATTATCAGGAGTGCTAGGAGGGAGGGAGAGGAGGAGGAGGAGGAGGACAATCACTGGCTCCGATAATGAAACATCTGCAGAAAACCCCCACCAAGCTCAGAGCTACCGTATATAAAGGGAGCAATTCGCACTCACTAGCACTGATGATGTAACCTAGATGGGTCATGAAACGTCTGCAAAAAAAAAAACAACCAAGCTCAGAGCTACCATGTATAAAGGGAACAAATCTATTTGTTCCTCAAAAACTCCAACCCTCTTCCCTGTCCTAAAGACCAAGATTGGCATTCAATTCGAGAGCCCACAGCTCTCCCATCCTGGCAATGCCCAGGAAGCCAAATCGGCTTGAATTCTCTCTTTTTTTTTTTTGTTAAATTCAATTTTATTCCCGAAGAGGGGAAGAAAAAATAAAATCTTACTTTTTACCCAGCGCAGACAGTCCATAAAGCACGCCCGTAGCGAAGGCAATGGCGTTGCCGAATAAGGTAGTCAGAGTCAGGCTTAAAATCACCGGGAATAAAGCCATCCTGGGAAAGGAAGAAAGACAAACCGAGGATAAAAAAAGCCGAATACAGCACGATTTAGCCAGGAAAGATACAACGGAGACAGAAAATGGCAAAACAAGGCTGAGTTTTTGCGTCTTGGGGAAAACTTTAGCTGCTGCCCACCAGGTATTCTGAAGCCCAAATCAGCCCAACGGCGGACAGGTAGTCCTCGGTTTACGACCGAATGCTCAGGGACCCACATTACGCCCTTCCTGAAAAAGCTGGGTTATGACTGCGCTTAGGCAAATCGCTGCCGTTACTAGGCGGGAATCCTGCAGCTGTCCAGCAAATTCCAAAACAAATGCTCGTAAATCAAGGACAGACGGCAGTTATCTTACTTGGCAAGGGCGCACAAAGAAAACCAATTCTTCCAGCGTTTTCTAGAGATAATCACTTCAAGGTTTCTCAGGGTAAAAGAGGCAGTAACATCGCTAGCCCGAAATGCTCTGTCATTGCAAGTCCTCTGAGACTAGGATGTTCTGTCCCCAACCCCACGCACACACACCAACAGACGTTCAGGAGTTAAAGACCAAACTAGCCAGCAAAATCCTTTTCCTTATGATAACGGAACTTGGCAACAACCTAGTGGCTGCCTGCCAAGAGTTTATTATTTACAAAGAGGAGAGAGAACTTCTCCCCACTTCTGATACATCAAAGGAAAGCAGCTCAATAATTACAATCAAGTCCGGAGATAATCCAGTCTTAAAGCAAAAGTCCGGCAATGCAGAATGGCATGGAAGCTTTCAGCTTTGTTCGTCACAAGGTTTGACTGGCCACCATGCTCCTTTTTATATCCTGTGGGGTGTGGTCCAGTGACTCAGCCTAATCTCGGGCACGCCCTTTCTTCTGTTGCACACGCTTATCTCTGCGACGCTGGCATGGATCCAGCCAAGACTCATTACCCTCATCACTGTCCATCTGTGGCTGCGTGGATGTGCTTGGCCCCGGCCCTATCTCTTCCCCTTCAGCGGACAGCGAAGGCATTGCCAGAGAGGAGGGTCCTGGAGAGGGAGGCCTTGCCAACTCCTCCCCTTCACTCTCGGAGTCCTCTCCTGACGATGACACAGGCTCCGGTAACAGAGCCACAACACTAGGCATAGAAACGGAATCATCAGACAGACATCCCGCTGATTAATTGTTCTAACTATCAGGAAATTTCTCCTTAATTCTATGTTGCTTCTCTCCTTGGTTAGTTTCCACCCATTGCTTCTTGCCCTGCTTTCAGGTGCTTTGGAGAATAGGTTGACTCCCCTCTTCTTTGGGACGGCTCCTCAAATATTGGAAAACTGCTATCGCTCTTCGTTAGGCTAGACCAGGGGGTCAGCAACCTTAAACACTCAAAGAGCCACAAAGGTCCTAACTGGAAGCCCCCGTTCAATTCTGGAGCCCACCGGAAGTCCGGTTCCTCCAACATAGTGTCCTCCTAGCGTGGTGTCCTTTTTTCTCTGCTGACCGGAAGTCCGGTTCCCCTACCATAAAGTCTCCTCCTAGCGCGGCGTCCTTTTTCCTCTACCTGTCCTAACCAAAAGCCCTATCAATTGTGGAGCCGACCAGCAACAGGGAGCTGCAGCAGAGGGATGAAAGAGCCACATGCGGCTCCAGAGCCCCAGATTGCCGACTCCGGGGCTAGACATATCTAATTCCCTCAACCGTTCATGGTACAGCTTAGCCTCCAGATCCCTTAAAAAGTGAGGCTGTTTTCTAAGACCGAGGATAACACAAAGAGAACACTCACCCGCAATAGAAAAGTGCCTTCTGCCAGGGACGAAGCTTGTCTGCTCTGGCCGAGACAATATTTGCAAACTCGATGAACTGGCAACAAAAGGGAGCTTCGCATAGTATGAGAATGAAGGCATTCAACCTTGAAATGGAATAAGATGGATTCAGTCAGGGCAATTCCCATCTATCCTTCTGCGCCATGCCTCGGGGGGAAGGGGGAACCCTCCCTTTCTAGCCAGTTTCTTAAAAAACAATATTTTTTTTTTCATTAGTTTTTTTTTTTCTTCTTCATATAAAATACAAATGAAAATAAAGACTGCCGGAAAAATCGGTCGAGGAAAAAGGGGAAAGAACGAAAATAAAAGGCCCTGGCCTCCAGCTCTTTTTTACGGTGCCGTAAATGGCACAGTTAAAATTCTAAACTCAACTTTTTACTCTACAGTGGCTAAGACGCTGAGCTTGTCGACCGAAAGCTCGGCAGTTCAGCGGTTCGAATCCCTAGCGCCGCGTAACGGAGTGAGCTCCCCTTGACTTGTCCCAGCTTCTGCCAACCTAGAAGTTCGAAAGCATGTAAAAAAATGCAAGTAGAAAAATAGGGAGGAAATAAATTGGTGGGGAAGTAAGAGCGTTCCGTGCGCCTTTGGCGTTGAGTCATGCCGGCCACATGACCACGGAGACGTCTTCGGACAGCGCTGGCTCTTCGGCTTTGAAACGGAGATGAGCACCGCCCCCTAGAGTCGGGAACGACTAGCACGTATGTGCGAGGGGAACCTTTACCTTTAAGAATAGTAAACGGTGTTTAAACCTGAAAAAGTGTTTAACCCTGAAAATCAAAACCGAGCTTTCATTCGTATTTCTTTCAAGCAGACGTCCAGAGGTGTGATATCAAACAAAGCTAGTTATGTTTCTTTCCCCTAATTAAAGTAGCTAATTTTACAATCTTGGCCAATTCCAGAATTTTTCAATCCGTTCTTCCGTTGTAGGAATTGACGTCCCGTTCCAATTTTGCAGCTGCCAAGATCCTTGCTGCGGTCAGCATATATATAGAATAACAAAATTCCGAATTTTTCTCCCCAATTCTTTATCCGATAGCCGTAACCTTCCTAGCCATCGCTTTGAGGCTATTGAAAGAAACGTATTCGGCCAGCCACGGTTGCAAACGAACAATGGGTAAATCCAGTCCCAGATTCGATCAGGAAAATTGACTTTATACTTACATCATCCAGACTCCTGCAGCTATGTTTAGAGGGTTAATGGTCAGGCACATCCAGAGCCCGGAAAAAGCACAAGCTGAATGAAAAGAAAAGAGAAGAAAGGAAGAAATGGAGGACAAAAAAAAAATCACATAGTAGGTACAGCTAATCCTCGATTTATGACTAAATTTCCGTTGCTAAGCAAGACAAGTGAGTTTTTTTTTCAATCTTTCTTGCCAAGGGTACCTAGTTGGGTGATGAAACATTTGCAAGCAAGCCACCAAACTGGGAGATCACTGAGGATGTCAGATTTCTCCTCCTCCTCCTCCTCTCCCTCTCTGCAAACCCCACTCCCTTGTAGCACTGATGATGTTACCTAGACGGGCAGTGAAACGTCTGCAAGAAAACAACTAAGCTCGGAGCTACTGTGTATAAACAGAGAGGGAGCCACACTCACTAGCCCTGATGGTGTTACCTAGTTAGGTAACAAAACATCTGCAAGGAAATCACCCACCTCAGAAAGCACCATGGCCCCCACAATGTTAAGGGAATAATTGGCTTTTCCAAGTGAGTGGTTTTTTTTGTCCCCAACTTTCCACGCCTGGGATTTCCTGTTGGTGTCCTCTCCAACTACTCACCCTATCTGAGTGGCTTAACCCCCTGAGATCAGCTCCACTGGAGGCTGCCGCTCACTAAAAAAATGTCCCGTTTTTGTTGTCCCTAAAGGGCAGAATAACCAGGCAGTATTCTGCTACCCGGCTGATGATGATTCCATTACATTATCCTTGCAACACGATCTTCTCCGCTGAACGGGAGCGTCCGTTCCATTGAGCGTAGCTCCCCCAAGTAACCTAATTCCGATATTTTTCAAGGCATCTGAGCCCTGAGCTCGGAAGACAGGCTGAGCCGGTGGCTGAGTTGACAATAAACATGTCCCGCTTTTTAAAATAAAATATAAATAAATAAAAATTAAATCCTGTATGGGGTCTACAGAAACAGGTACAAATGAAAGAAAGAGGTAGGATAGATGGGTAGATAGATATAGATGAGAGATGAGAGAGAGAGAGAGAGAGAGAGAGAGAGAGAGAGAGAGATGGATGGATGGATGGATGGATGGATGGATGGATGGATGGATGGATAGATAGATGGATAGATGAATAGATAGGTAATAGATGATAGATAGATAGATAGATAGCTAGATAGATAGATAATAGATGATAGATAGATAGATAGATAGATGATTGATAGATAGATGATAGATAGATGATAGAGAGATGATAGATGATAGATAATAGAAAGATGATAGATACATGATAGATGATGGATAGATAATAGATAGATGATGTATAGATAGATAGATGAGAGATAGATGAGAGAGAGAGATGATGGAGATAGATAGATGATAGATATAGATAGAAAGATGGAAAAATAGTTAAATAGATGATAGATAGATGATAGATAGATGATAGAGAGAGAGAGATGATAGATAATAGATAGATGATAGATACATGATAGATGATGGATAGATAGATAATAGGTAGATGATGGATAGATAGATAGATGAGAGAGAGATGAGAGAGAGATGAGAGAGATAGATAGATGATAGATATAGATAGAAAGATGGAAAAATAGAAAGATAGTTGAATAGATGATAAAGATAGATGATAGATAGATAGATAGATAGATAGATGATAGATAGATAGATAGATGATAGATAGATGATAGATAGATAGATAGATAGATAGATAGATAGATAGATAGATGATAGATAGATAGATAGATAGATAGATAGATGATAGATAGATACGGTAGAATTATAAAAATAATTATATATATATAATTTGCCCTCTGTCTCTGTCTCTCAAGATAGGTAGAAAAAGGCTCAGCGTTGTCCTGTTTAACCTTCCAGCAATGTTCAGATCGGTGTGTTTTTTTTAACCCTGGCAACTGGAAAAGGTGTGGAGTTCAGTTCCCAGAATTCCCATAGCTTTTCTGGGGAATTCTGGGAATGGAAGTCCACACAGCTTCCCCCAAGTTGCCGCGTTTGAGCAGCCCCGTTTCAGAAGACTTATATCAAACATTGGATTGTTTCGCCTAAACAGCAATCTTGCAAGGCGGGTCTTGAGTTCCCACTTTGCAAACACGGACTCTGGACCTGAATAAGGATGACCTAATCGGTTTTGCGCAAGAGGACAATTTCGAATGCAGTAAAACAAAGTCCGGCTGTGTATGTTGTGGGTCTAAATTGTGATGCCAATCACATTCCTGAGGGAATACCAACAATTGTTTCAAAACAACTGGCTACGCTGACATTGATAGGATAAATCATCATCTTTTAACCCATAATCCCTTGCGGGGTGGAGTCCGGGCAACTGAATAATGGAGCTGAGTGTTTTCTGGCCGGATGCCTTTCCTGTTTCCAATGAGGAGTCATATTCAGCATTTATAGGCTAATTATGTCAAACAAAATAGAGGAAGGGCTCAGAGCATAACTTTTTAAAACTCGGCAGGGGCTTTCCCCCAATCTCTGACCCCCTTCGAGGTGCATTGGATGATCTCTCCCATCATCCCCAATCAGATGACCGATGGGTATTGTCCTCCAGATCAGCGGCCGGAGAGACTTTTGACCGCAGTCAGAATCATCAAATTAGAAAGAACAAGTTAAAAACAGTCTTGATAGGGTCAACGGAACCTCCTTAGCCAGGAGTAGCGTACCTCAAAATACAGGCAGTCCTCGAGTTACGACCAAAATTGAGCCCGGTTGCTGGGCGAGACGGTTGTTAAGTGAGTTTTGCCCCATTTTACGACCTTCCTTGCCACAGCGGTTAAGTGAATCACTCCGGTTATTACATTAGGAACACGGTTGTTAAATTAATTTGGCTCCCCGGTTGATTTTACTTGTTAGAAGGTCGCAAAAAGGGGATTCCGTGACATACACACACACACACCCGGGATCCTGCAACCGTCATAAATATGAAGCAATTGCCAAGCATCCGAAATTCTGATCCCGTGTTCAGAAGGGGATGTGACAAAGGTGTTGTAACTTTGAAAAACGGTCTCCTAAGCCACATTTTTTTCCCCACTGCCATTGTAACTTTGAACGGTCACTAAACGAGCTGTTGTAACTCGAGGACTTCCTGCACTAGAGAGGAAGAAGGAAGGGCAAGTACGGAAGACATCCTTGGAGTTAAAGAGACTTCATTGCCCACAAATCAGTTTTTTAAAAAAAAAAAAAACCAATATCCAGAGATGCTTCGATGGGAATAGAACCTGTGACACTTCACAAAGTTGGGTTAAAACACAGACAGCAATATTGGCATTTTCGGCAGTAGGTAATCCATATTTAGCGGGCGAGAGATAGTAAGAATAATTCATCAGCGGAACGACTTGCCACCGGAAGTTCTAAACGCTCCAAGACCGGAGGTTTTTAAGAAGAGATTGGACAGCCATTTGTCTGAAATTTAATGTAATTTAATTTAATTAATTCAATTTATATGCCGCCCTTCTCCGAAGACTCAGGGTGGCTCACAATACATTTTTTAAAAAATCATTATAAAAAAAATTTAAAAATTAAAAACATTAGAAGAACATTAAAAACTCATTCACGCCATTCATGGCCGGATCTCGCCAGATCACAAGAGCGAGATCAACGGCCCCAGGCCTGCGGGAAAAGCCAGGTCTTCACCGCTGAAAAGGATCTCCTGCCTTTTCAGGGGGCTGGACTAGAGGACCTTCAAGGTCCCTTCCCGACTCGGTCATTGTGTGTGCAATTTAGTCCTGCAAAAAACGGATCATGCCATATGCACACGCAGAGAAACACACAACCTTGTGTAAAAGTGCAGCCAGGCGATTTCTGTCAAGGGGTAAATCAATCTTTAGGGGATGGAGAGGGAGGGAAGCCATGCACTGGGTTGTGCAAATAATAATAATAATAATAATAATAATAATAATAATAATAATAATAATAATAAGAAGAAGAAGAAGAAGAAGAAGAAGAAGAAGAAGAAGAAGAAGAAGAAGAAGAAGAAGAAGAAGAAGAAGTTTATTTCTATACCGCCCTTCTCCCGAAGGACTCAGGGCGGTGTACAGCCAATTTAAAAACACAAGACACGGATCCCCCCCCCCCCCCCTCACACACACACAGTCCACACAACTTTTGTGTACAGCCCAACTACCGGTAGCAAGAAAGGCATTTCCATCAAGAGGGGATCAATATTTAGGAGGTGGAAACGAAAAGAATGCGTGCGTGTGTTCAGTTGTGCAGAACAGGTCATTTTACACAAAGACACACACACACAAAGACACACACACAGAGTCCCAGCAGGACCGATTTTTTGTTTTTTGGTCCCAGGAGAGAATACTCACAGATGGCCCCTAAGATGCCAGCCAACCTGCATAGCCACCTGTACCACCAAGTCATCCCATCCTCCTGAGCGACAGCCTGTGCCCCGTCTGCTTCGGGCTGCTCCTCCTGGGGATTCATCCTGCCTGCCCCTCCCTCTCCTTGCAAGACGGACCGGCCACGCTGCTAGTCCTCAGGGCATCCCCGGCCGGTGCCCAGCCAGGGCTGCAGCTGGGCGGACAATGGAGAGAGAGAGAGAGCGAGACAGCCAGCAGCCCTGCCCCCTTCCCGGCCGAGGAGGCTTCCCCACACATTGCTCTCTGTGGCAGTGCATGCCGGGTCCCTCCCCACTGCAGGAGGAGGGCAGGGAAGAAAACTGGGCTCATCCCCAGATGTGAAGAGTGACCTGGCCAGAGAGGGCGATGCTCGCCCGCGTCAGTTTTTTCCCCCTTGGTTGAAATGGACCAACAGATTGCACAGCCTCTGATACAAAACTCCGTTCACAATTGCTCCCCATCTCTTTAATTTGAAGTGAGTTGGCTCAAAGTACCCGATCGGTGATTTATGGTATAGTAGTACGGGCCTTTCCCAGATCTCTCTGGGAAATCCAGAATTCTTATTTTAGTTTATTGAGTTTGTCAAACATGTACGAGACAACAGATATAAGCATAAGCATGGATATTTTTTTAAAATTTATTTATTTATTTATTTTTATATGCCGCCCTTCTCCGGAGACTCAGGGCGGCTTACAATGCGTTCAGCAATAGCCTTCATACTTTTGTATATTTTATACAAAGTCAGCTTATTGCCCCCACAAACCGGGTCCTCATTTTACCCACCTTAGAAAGGATGGAAGGCTGAGCCAACCTTGAGCCTTGGCGAGATTCGAACCTGCAGTAATTGCAGGCAGCTGGATGTTAAATGCGGCCTTAGTAGGAGGCATTAGCCTCCTACGCCACTCAGGCTCTTATATGAACACAGGAAATGGGGACGAATAAATGGGGACAGTAGGACAGGGACGGAAGGCACGCTGGTGCGCTTATGCAAGCCCCCCCCCCACTTTACGGACCTCTTAGGAATGGGGTGAGATCCACAGTCGACAGTTAAACTAGGTTTAACTCAGGGGTGAAATCCAGCAGGTTCCGACAGGTTCTGGCGAACTGGTAGCGGAAATTTTGAGTAGTTCGGAGAACCGGCAAATGCCACCTCCGGCTGGCCCCCAGGAGTGGGGTGGGAATGGAGATTTTGCAACATCCTTCCCCCCAGGAGTGGGGAGGGAATGGGGATTTTGCAGTATCCTTCCTCTGCCATGCCTACAGAACCAGTAGTAAAAATAAATTTGAATTTCACCCCTGTCCACGATCCATCGAATCCTAAACAAACAGGGAATCCCTGAGACGAGACTAATCAAGTGACGCCTTTCCCTGCAAATGCCAACTCTCGCTTTTCGAGTCGAGCCGAGTTTAAACCACGACGAAGTGAGAACTATGTTAAGTCACAACGTTAGCTGGACAAAAATTAGAGGCAGGCTGGGTTGTGGTTTTCCACGAACGTGTTTTATTTCAAAGGCAGAAGTTCTGGGGAGCTGCAGCTCGCTTTTTTCAGAGGCACCAAGCGGGCTACTCCACAGGGATTAATTTTATGCTCAAGTGCCGAGTCCCTGTACAACGACCCTGTAGGTAGGCCCTTGGTCCAGCTTTGTGTAGGTTGACAGAAGCACCAAGAGAAGACAATCTGTTTGCAAAAACAGAGGCATAAGGGATTTATGGAAAGGCACCTATGAAAGGTAGAACACGATGCTTCGTTCAGCCGTTTTCATGTTTTTGAGGAGAGCGCTCAGCACCGGCCCTTTCCTGCCTCCCGTCCGACTGGAACAGGGGGTTGGACTAGAAGACCTCCGAGGTCCCTTCCGACTATATACTGTAATTGCCTCCTGTGCGGCGTTTTCCACATCGGCCAATCAAACGAAGGGCTACTTGGTGGCCCAGTACTCCGCTCGGAAGCTGACGTTGGCCAGGGCTTGGTTGAATTCGATCTCGGCTCGGCTGCCGATGGATTCCCAGTAGAAAAGACGGTTCCCCTGGAAGACGGTAGTCCTCAAGGATTCAACATCTCGGATCTGGAATAGGAAAAGGTCCTGACACTCAGCCTGCCTCCGTTAATGGGTTTTTGCAAGTCCATCATCCATCCATCCCTATCCATCTCAACCTTATCTCTCTCATCCATCCATCCATCTTACACTATCTCTCTCTTTCTCCATCCATTCATCCCCACCCTATCTCTCTCTCCATCCATCTTCACCCTACCTCTCTCTCTCCATCCATCCATCCATCCATCCATTTTTACCCTATCTCTCTCTTCTCCATCCATCCATCCATCTCCACCTACCTCTCTCCATCCATCCATCTTCACCCTACCTCTCTCTCCATCCATCATTCATCCATCCCCACGTTATCCTCTCTTTCTCTCCATCCATCCTCCCCACTCTATCTCTCTCATCGATCCATCCATCTTCACCCTACCTCTCTCTCTCACCACCCATCCATCCATCCATCCCCACCCTATCCTCTCTTCTCCATCCATCCATCCATCCTCACCCTACCTCTCTCTCCATCCATCCATCATCTTCATCCTATCTCTTTCTCCATCCATTCATCCATCTTTACACTATCTCTCTTTCTCATCCATTCATCCCCACCTATCTCTCTCTTCATCCATCCATCCATCCATCCATCCATCTTCACCCTATATCTTTCTCTATCCATTCATCCATCCATTCCATCCTACCCTCTCTCTCCTACCATTCATCCATCTTCACCCTACCTCTCCCTCCATCCATCCATCCATCTTCACTCTACCTCTCTCTCATCCTCCATCCATCATTCATCTTCACCCATCTTTTTCTCCATCCATCCATCCCCACCCTACTTCTCTCTCCTTTCATCTATCCATCCCCACCCCATCCATCCATCCATCCATCTTTACCCTATCTCTCCTCTCCATCCATCCATCCATCCATCTTCTATCATCTATCTATGTGTAGGTTTTGAGAAAAAGATTGGACAGCCATTTGTCTGAGATGACACAAAGTCTCCTGCCTTGAGCAGACGGTTGGACTAGAAGATCTCAAGGTCCCTCTCAGCCCTCTCATTCTACTTTCCAATGTGAGGGGGTCCGTACCCCAATTCACGCCTTACCGAAATGTAGCTGGAGTGTGTTTCGTGGCCGTTGCTTGGAATTCCACGTACACCGCATGGATGGCAATGCGCAGGTGGGGCGCCACATCGATAAATATCCTAGCAAGCCATTTGCCGTTCCCATCCAGCGACGGTCCTGGGTTCAGGATGAGCCCCAGGGACCAAACAGCTGCCTATCACAACTGGTGGAGCGAGAAAAAAAAAAACACAGAATAACAAGAGTTTCGAAGGGACCTTGGAGGTCTTCTAGTCCAACCCCCTGTTCAAACAGGAAACCCTGTGAGAGGGATCTTGGGAGTCTTAGTGGACAACCAGCTAAATATGAGCCAGCAGTGTGCAGCGGCAGTCAAAAAAGCCAACGCAATCCTAAATTGCATTAACAGAGGGATGCAATCAAGATCAAGTGAGATACTAATATTTATTTCTTTATTGGTTCGATTTATATGCCGCCCTTCTCCGGAGACTCAGGGCGGCTTACAATGCGTTAAGCAATAGCCTTCATACTTTTTGTATATACCTGCTTAGTAGGGCTTTCGGCCCACCCTAAGCAGTATTATTTTTTATACAAAGTCAGCTTATTGCCCCCACAAATCCGGGTCCTCTACCACTCTATAAAGCCTTAGTAAGGCCACACCTAGAGTCCTGCATCCAGTTTTGGGCACCACACTATAAAAAAAAAGATGTTGAGACTCTAGAAAGAGTGCAGAGAAGAGCAACCAAGGTGATTAGGAGGTTAGGAGGAGCTTTTTGGAGGTTAGGGGACTGGAGGCTCAAACATACGATGAACGGTTTGTAGGAACTGGGCATGGCTGGTCTAGTGAAGAGAAGGACCAGGGGAGACAGGATAGCAATCTTCCAATATTTGAGGGGCTGCCACAGAGAGGAGGGGCTCAAGCTATTTTCCGAGGCACCTGAAGGCCAGTCAAGGAACAATGGATGGAAATGGATCAAGGAGAGATTCAACCTGGAAATAAGGAGGAATTTCCTGACAGTGAGAGCAATCAACCCATGGAACAGAAGTTGTGGGAGCTTCATCACTGGAGGCTTTCAAGGAGAGACTGGACTGCCATCTGTCAGAAATGGTGTAGGGTCTCCTGCTTGGATGGGGGGGTTGGACTAGATGACCCACAAGGTCCCTTCCAACTCTGTTAATCCCTTATCCCATCTCAGACCAAAGGCTGTCCTGGCTGTCTTGGAGCACCCACAACTTCTGGTGGCGAGCTGTTCCACGGGCTACACACCTTGATGGTGTTTCTTCTCTGCCAATCGGCTGGTGTACCGTAGCACAACGCCACTCCCCGACAACAGCCGGCGTTGCCTGACCATCAGGGTGTTGGTTTGGGTGGTCACCAGCAACAGCTTCAGTTTCTTACAGGCCATCCGCCACATTGTCCGTGTCGAAAAGAGTAATATTTCTCCTGGGGGAGAAAGAGAGGAAGGACTTACGACCACAATCGGGGCCCGAAATGTCTGTTCTTAAGCGAGACATGCGTTAAGGGAGTTTTGCCCCATTTTACGACCACACCTGCATATACAACTAACCACTATAAGATTATAAATTTGATGAAGGTAGGTAGGTGGGCGGGTGGATGGGTAGATAGATAGATCAGTAGATATTAGAGAAATAGATGAGATGATAGATAGATAGATAGATAGATAGATAGATAGATAGATATGATGGATGGATGGATATAGATAGATAGATAGATAGATAGATAGATAGATAGAGATGACAGATGTATAGATTAGATAGATAGATAGATAGATATGATGGATGGATAGATATAGATAGATAGATAGATAGATAGATAGATAGATAGAGATGATAGAGATGACAGATGTATAGATTAGATAGATAGATAGATAGATAGATAGATAGATAGATAGATATGGATGGATAGATGGATAGCGATAGATGGATGGATGGATGGATGGATGGATGGAGAGAGATATGGATAGATGAATGGATAGATAGATGATAGATAGATAGAAAAATAAATTGGATGGATGGATGGATAGCGATAGATAAATGGATGGATGGATGGATGGATGGAGAGAGATATGGATGGATGGATGGATAGATGGATAGAAATGATAGATGGATAGATTAGATAGATACATAGATATGATGGATGGATGGATAGATAGATAGATAGATAGATAGATAGATAGATAGATAGATTGGATGGATAGATAGGTAGGTAGGTAGGTAGGTAGATAGATAGATAGATAGATAGATAGATAGATAGATAGATAGATAGATAGATAGATATATTAGCTGGATAGATAAATTAGATAGATAGATCAATAGATCGAATGTAAATTAATAAACAGAAGAACTGGAATTTGAGGATGAATTGTATTATTTCTTCAGCAAGAGAGACAAGAAAGAAAGAGGTGGATAACATGATAAGATACGAGTTTGAGGCTTCCTGGGTGACGACTGGCACCGACCTGCGAGACGCTCACCTGCGCTGCAGTTCAAGGAACTCTGCAACACCTGGACTGTGATCATCTCCCCTAAAGGGCGGCCTATGGCGACCGTGCAAATCCTGGCTTGCACACCTGTCATGTTGATTAGTCCGCTGGGGTCCAGCCACTGCCTTCCACAGATACCTGGGTGGGAAAAGCCAGAGGAGGAGGAGACATTAGAGATGGGAGAAGGAGAAGGAGAAGGAGAAGGAGAAGGAGAAGAAGAAGAAGAGGAGGAGGAGGAGGAGGAAGAAAGAAGAAGAAGAAGAAGAAGAAGAGGAGAAGAAGAGGAAGAAGAAAGAAGGAGGAGGAGGAGGAGGAGGAGGAGAAGAAGAAGGAAGAAGAAGAAGAAGAAGAAGAAGAAGAAGAAGAAGAAGAAAGAAGAAGAAGAAGAAGAAGAAGAAGGTGGTTTTCCATGGATTTCCTAAAGTTCTCCTATACCATCGAACTTCAGTTCTCTCATTGGCATTGACTTAGTTTTTGTTCGACGTATTGTAGACCTTCCTGGTTGACACCAGAGGTTCTCAGGAAGGTTGTATTTTGCTAGATTTTTTCCCCACCAAACCCAGTCCTGTTTCCCCAGGACAACAGATCCTCCCTCGGATTAAAGCCCTCTTAATAACCAGCAGTGCTACGTAACTGGGTTCCTCCGAGATATCTCCTCGGGTTTTAGCCTTGGTTTCTTTCTTCTGAGGATCTTCTCCTTTGGACCATGGAAGGTCGAAGGCCTGGTCCTGCCGTCCTTTGAGACGAGGAGTGACCTCTGGGGTGGTGAGGTGAAGAGTGACCTCTGTGGATGGAAGCTGGGTTGCTGTCGGGACATCTGACCGGAGGTCTGACTTCATCGTGGTCTGTTCGAGGCAAGGGATGATGGAACATGTTCTCACCATCATGGGCTTAGGAACATGCATGCACAACAGAGGGTTCACCCGTGTCTTAGTTTGGGGGTTGATGCAGAAATCCTTCCGTCTCTGGATGCCGGTTCCACAGGAGACGGAGCACTGGAAGGAGAGAGCCAGAGATTACAGACAGTCCTCGATTTACGACCGTGGCTTAACGGTCGTAAGGCGAGGACTACCTCTATGCTGTTTTCTTGGCCCTAGTACAGAAGTGGTCTACTAATGCTCTTTTTTTTTCTTTTCAATTTCTCAGCTGGGAAACGTCCAAATTGCTCCCAGCGAAATATTAACCAGTTTAGCTGATTAGCTTTCAATATACTATGCAGATTAGATTAGACTAGACTTAAAATTCTTTTTTTCTTCCTTTTAAAAAGTTTTTAATTCAATATAAAAAGTTCCGTTCTCATACAAACGGTGTATTCTGAGCACAATTAATTTCGAGAAAAGCCATCACAATAATAATAATATTCATAACATTCATATTAATCACTTAATAATATTTGCTTATCCATTTTAATAAACCTTCCACATATCATTCATCATTCTCTTACGCTTCCCCATTTCTAACTTCTGCTTCTACTAGTTAGCCATTGATAAAACAAATCCCCGTGTTAAAAAGTACTCAGTATCTTCCTTCTCCTCGATTTTAAGTGTTAATCTATCCATTTCTGCGCATGCTAATATTTTTTTTTAAATTACGTTTTCCTCTGGGGGGGACTTCAAATTCATTTAATAACCTTTAATTCAGTATACTGTAGGAACCAACCGAATGCTGGCTAAACAAAACTGTCACATTAAGCCAGAGTATTGCTTCTATGTTTGTCTGTATGCTGTTATCCTCAACCTATGACTGTTCGCTTAGCAACTGTTTAGAATCATGACGGACCCCGTCGTGCTTGGGGGGTGGGGGTGGCTGTCGTCGTGGCGATACAATGGAAGATTTCGGTGCTCTGGGTCAGTGGGAGGAGCCTCCCGCCGATTTTACTATCGGTTCTTGCAAACCGGTCTGAACCGGGGGGCAACCCAACACTGGTCCCTCCCCGTCCCCTATGCTCACATGACACACACACACACATACCCCTCATATGGGGGCTTGCAACTGGCGTGCATTTACAAAGCCGTGTGAATTCAATTGACGGAAAGTGGCGTTTATTTCCGGTTTTCCACCCAAAATATGCCCCCATGAAAACGGGCTCAGTTTACGACGGCCGTGTTTGCGTAACGACCCACTGCAAAAAAAAAAGTCGTAAAATCGTGCACACGATGACCCACGTTACGTTCGTTAAGCCGAGGATTTATCGGCTTCCCGAGGACTCCTGAATGATGTCATCGCAGGGCCAATAGGGTTACCTCCGTCCATTGGGTGAACCCCCATTCGTAAGGGCAGACGCGGAGAATGCAGGGGACGACCGAGAGAGGCTTTTCCGCTTCCGGGCACCGGCCCTCGGCCACCTCCACTTCTCGTCCTCCAGCAAGCCTCACGCATGACACTGATTGGGTGGCAACTCCAAGTCCACACGAAGAGGAGCAGGGCCCACGCTCCGTCACTTTCCAGCTGGTTTTTTTTAATAGGGAGAGATTGCAAGTCAGTTACAATTGCCGATCGGTTGCAATTGTCTATCTATCATTACCTGTCTAATCCTTCCTTCCATTCATTCTCTCTCTTTCCCTTCCTCCTGACTTCCTTCGCTCCTTTCCTTCTTTTCATCTCATCCTGGATCTCACCCTTTTTTTTCTTTTTTTCTTTTTTGAACTATTACCATCTCGCAGACGGTACAGGATAATAAAAACAAGGACAAATAGGCTGAAAAACAGCTTCCATCCCAGGGCAGTAACTATATTGAATTCTGCACTGTATATATAGTGTAATATTAATGCAATATCAGGGTTTTTTCAATTCAATTGTATAGAATGTGAAGGAGGTGTGTTTGTGTTTTATTTTTACAGGTTTTTAAAAATGTGTAATGTACACTGAAGATGGCATTTAATTGCGTTGTATGAGATGCAATGACAATAAGGTAAGGTAAGATAAAAGGTAAAGGTTCCCCTCGCACATATGTGCTAGTCGTTCCCGACTCTAGGGGGCGGTGCTCATCTCCGTTTCAAAGCCGAAGAGCCGGCACTGTCCGAAGACGTCTCCGTGGTCCTGTGGCCGGCATGACTCAATGCCAAAGGTGCACGGAACGCTGTTCCCTTCCCACCAAAGGTGGTCCCTATTTTTCTACTTGCATTTTTTTACGTGCTTTCAAACTGCTAGGTTGGCAGAAGCTGGGACAAGGAACGGGAGCTCACCCCATTTACGCGGCGTTCGGGATTCGAACCGCTGAACTGCCAACCTTTCGATCGACAAGCTCAGCGTTTTAGCCACTGAGCCACTGCGTAAACTAAACTAAACTAAACTAAACTAAACTAAACTAAACTAAACTAAACTAAACTAAACTAAACTAAACTAAACTAAACTAAACTAAACCTAGAGGAAAATTGCTTGCTAGTTTCCCAATTTACAAGGAGAAAGCTAAAAACCTGGGTGGACAAGATTCCAGATGGCACACTTCCTGTTCTTCGGGCCGCAACGAGTCCTCGCAGGCTGCATCTGGCAGGACCTCTTCCTCCTCCTCCCCGGTCCCTCGCGCACAGTACAAGACCTTGCGCATCACGCCTTCCCCGCATGTCACGCTACACGCACCTTGCTTGTAAAACCACCTGAGTGGGAAGAAGAGAGAGACAGAACCCAGGTGAGAAAAGCAGGCCTGTGCCACCACGTTTCCTGTCCCTGTTTAGGCACCCTCTTCCAGGACTGAAGGTCCAGTCCAGGAACTTTAAAAAGCGCCGGTTGTCAAAATTATTATTATTATTTCACTTTTAACAGCCGTGGCATTCGCTTTTAACAGTCGCCACAAGAAAGGTGAGAAAATCCGTTTTGGCCGTGGGTTGATTACAACTGTCAGGACTTATGACCATAATAGGCGGGTTCCATTATACGGTCGTAACTCGAGGACTACCTGTATAAGTGGGGAAGGTTCTGCCGACCCCCCCTTACCTTGGTGGACATGGCTCAGGGTTGCAAATTTCTAGACGGCTCGCTGGTCTCTGGGTCTGGTTACAGCGTCTCTCCTCGGTTTCTTCTTTAGTGTCAAAAACCAGGCAGACGTAACTCAGCAACATCCGTCCTGTGGAAAGGAGCAGTCGGGGAAAATGTTATTAGCGGTATCCATTTTTTTCTGCTTTCCTTTTAGCTCGCCCTCAGCGGGATTATTTCTTCAAATGCTGTCGTATATCCAGTGAACGTGACTTTATTTTAGCTGGGGATTCTGGGAGTTGAAGGCCACCCATCTTAAAGTTGCCAAGATTGAGATCTATGGCCTTAGTCCCTTCCTTCCTTCCTTCCTTCCTTCCTTCCTTCCTTCCTTCCTTCCGTCCGTCCGTCATCTGGGGAAGGCCCAGATGAGGGCTTTGCATTGGAGGCAGAGATGGGGCCAGGGCCATCTGCGAGTGATGCACGGACTCCGGAGCCCCCAGAGTCGGACAGCAGAGAGGCAGAGGAACAGGAGGAGCCTGTTCCTAGTGCACGCATACACAGAGCTGCCAGAAGGCAAGAGCAGCTAAAGCAAAAGGGACGACTCGGGAGTAAGGCCAGGAGATGATTGGCCCCTCCCATAAGGCTTAAAAGAGAAAACAAAAAGGCACTTGGGGCCTTTTGCAGGAAAGCAACGTTGCTAACTCTGTTTCCAGTCGGCATCTCGTTTGTTTCTGAACTTTGTGGGGCTTTGCCAAGTAAGGCCTTTGGCAGGGTGTCAAAGAAGATCAAGATTGGTGATTATCCCGAAGGACTTCTTCCAAGGACTTGTTTTGCAACTAATTGGGATTCAGCTGGGAATGAACATAATTCTCAGCTATTACAATAAAGTAGGTTTGTTTGGGACTAATTGTATATTGTAATGACTCATTAAGCCTAGGTCACAACAGATATATCAATGTGTAAAAGATCTCTTAGCCCAAAAAAGAAATGATGTGCAAACAGCAGAGCTGGACCAGATACAGAAACCGGATCCACAGGTCAAGGAATCCAGGGGAAAAAAAATCTTCACCTCCTCCACAGGAAACTGAACAGTTCCCAGCCAAAGGACTCCAGACGTATACAGATTGATTTCCAATCCGGTCTCGCTGTTCTGGAGCACCAGACCTCAATTCCTGTTTCAGGAGACACCAAAACCATCAGAAGGATACGGGTGGAAAGAATCGTGCTGACAATCTTAACGGGGCTTATTTTGGGGGGGTAGGATGTCAAACTTCGATGCTATCTCAAAATAAATGAATTTCCAAACTGCCAATCTTTAAGGAAATCTTTTCTTTAATTGAGCACAGCCACCGGATCATGACTCGATGCGGACAGGACTGACCTTTTGCCCCCCAATCCCTCCCTTTCCGATCCCCAAATCTCTGCTTCTCTATCTTCCAAGTCATTCTTCAGACTTCTTGTCTCGTCATTTCCCAGGAATGTCTCCCCCCCTCTTCATTTCCACGACAACCCGACTTCAAAGGGATTTAGCAGGCAAAAGTTCAGAGCTTATCTCTCTCTCTCTATGCCAGCGTTGAAGCGCTGACATAGGACTTATATTACGAGCATCCTGAAAAATCATGCTAGGGTTTATTTTCCGGTTGGGTCTTATTTTCGGGGAAACAGGGTAGTTCTGTTAAGTCTGTAAAGTCAGTGACCCTGTAGGAACTAACTGTTGTCTTCACCTGGCGGCTAAACAAGGGCCATGGTGGTCACTAAACGAATGGTTGTACGGCGAGGACTACACGAAGGCCAGAGATACATACCGTGTTCCAACCCAACGGGCAGACATCCACGGTGCATGGCACGAAGGCCGGGGGTTTCTGGTCTGCTGGACACAGCCTCATCCACGGTGGATTCCAGCCCACCGTCAACCGCCTGGACGCAGGTCACATTCCACATGGCCGCTCCCAAGCCACAAACGGCAGAACATCTGGCCAGCTGTGATTTCTTCCAACTGGATGGGGAAGAAAGAAGAGTCCAGGATTGGCTGCCCTTTTCCTATCTTAAGAGATCTTCAGGGGAAAAAAAAGACTCTGTGACTCTTTTAATCTGTGTTTCGGCCAAAATATTTAATAATTTTAAGGGATTTTTAATATTTGTATTATCTGTATTTTATCTTGGCTGTTCACCGCCCTGAGTCCTTCGGGAGTAGGGCGGTATAGAAATTTGATTAAACAAATAAAGAAACAAACTCTGCATCCATCGATAGCCTTCGGAACTTGTGGGAGCTTCATCACTGCAGGCTTTCGAGAGGAGATTGGACTGCCATTGGCCAGAAATGGACTGCTTAGGCAGGGGGTTGGACTAGATGACTTTCAAGGTCCCTTCCAACTCTTTTTAATCTGTTAAAAATAGCGGAGGTCTGGATTTCGATGGGAAAGAGCCAGCTTTAGGTCCCTGTTGGGCCAGCTCAGAGAGAATCTAAAGGTAAAGGTTCCCCTCGGACATCTGTGCTAGTCGTTCCCGACTCTAGGGGGCTGTGCTCATCTCCGTTTCAAAGCCGAAGAGCCAGCGCTGTCCGAAGTCGTCTCCATGGTCAGGTGGCCGGCATGACTCAACACCAAAGGTGCACGGAACGCTGTTACCTTCCCACCAGAGGTGGTCCCTATTTTTCTAATTGCTTTTACGTGCTTTCGAACTGCTAGGTTGGCAGAAGCTGGGACAAGGAACGGGAGCTCACCCCGTTACGCGGCACTAGGGATTCGAACCGCGGAACTGCCAACCTTTCGATCGACAAGCTCAGCGTCTTAGCCACTGAGCCGCCGCGTCCCTTAGAGAGCACCTAGGACCCCACAGAAAATGGATAAATTTGGAAACCGGCTCAAAGATGCTTGAGAGGACAACAGATTGGATGGACACTGGTCCGATTGATCTGGCTTGACCTTTCAGAATGAAAATGGAGCAGAGAATATTTTACTCACTACGGTTGGCAGAGTTTCACAGTGCACATTTCTTGCCTAGAAGGAGGTTTGGGCATCTTGAGGCAATAGAGGTCATCCACCTTCTCAACTCTTGCCTGGTAAAAGCAGGAGTAACGGACTTGTAGGGTGCCTGCAGAGTAAAATTTAGCGGAGTCCTCTTAGTAAAGACGATAGTGTTTCCACAGAAGGAGAAGTGGAATTCGAAGACGACCGAAAAGGAATCACTCTGGCTGAAAAAAAGATATATAGGTACCGTGTTTTCCCGAAAATAAGACCCTGTCTTATATTTTTTTTTGAACCCTGAAATAAGCGCTTGGCCTTATTTTCGGGGAGGTCTTATTATTTTGGGGCGCGTGGAGCAAGACGGGACTCCTCTTGCTGTCTTACATGATTTCCAGCTCTGTGTTTAAATATTTTCAGGGAGGGCTTATTTTCGGGGTTGTGTGTTTTATTTTAGCACATGCGCTCAAAAGCCCGATTGGGCTTATTATCAGGGGATGTCTTATTTTCAGGGAAACAGGGTAGTCCTTGGCTCACGACCAAAACTGAGCCCAGACTTTCCATTGGGGGTAAGCAAGACAGTTGGTTCAGTGAGTTTTGCCTCCCGATTAGTACAAGCAGCTGATTGTCGGTTGGATCGGCCTCCCGAAGATCAGCTGTTTCAGGCTGCAGGGATAGCCATAGCCTATTGCCGCCTCCACACGCCCATTTTCCAGGGGGGCGGGGCTACATTCAGTATATAAGACGCACCCAAATTTTCACTCTCTTTTATGGGGGGGGAAAAGTGCGTCTTATACACCGAAAAATACGGTATAACAGAGCGCGAAACCGCTTCCTTAAAGACCAAAAGTGGTTCACCTTGTGTGTTCTCCGAGATGTTTCCTTGCTCCCCCAAATACCCGATGCTAAAGATAAAGAGGTATAAAAGGAAATAAAAGGACAATTGAGCAACTGACCGTCCCACAGGTGACTGAGCAGTGGCTGAACTGGGCCTTCCACATGTAATTCTCTTTTTCGCTCGGTCTAAAGTAGCTGAAGGCGATATCGGGGCTGGTGGCGCTCCCATATTCTTTTCCGTATTTCCTGTAAACCTGGATGGAAAAAGAACAGTGCTCAACTTACAACCGTTCGTTTAGTGACCGAGGATCTCTTTCCACACTTACGACCCTTAGAGCATTTTCCCCCATTGTCACACGATCAAAATCCAGATGTTTTGGGACTCATATTTATGGCGATTCGCGGAATGTCCCGGGCTCACGAGATCTCCTTTTGCGGCTTTCTGACAACGGGGAAGCCAGATTCGCGTAATAACCGCACGGCTCACTTAACCACTGTAGCGATTCACTTAACGGTGGCAAGAAAGGTCATAAAATGGGGCAAAACTCACTTAACAACTGTTTCGCTTGGCAACGGAGACGTTAGGCTCAACTGTGGCCATAAGTCAAGAACTACCTGCAATTCCATCAACTGCTACATTATCCCACACATGTATCCCATTTGCCACGGTAGTTTAATTTTTATTTATTAAGTTTCTTTGCCTTCCATTTAGAGTCCCTGCTCCTTAAAGGTAAAGGTTCCCCTCGCTCATATGTGCTAGTCGTTCCCAACTCTAGGGGGCGGTGCTCATCTCCGTTTCAAAGCCGAAGAGCCAGCGCTGTCCGAAGACGTCTCCGTGGTCATGTGGCCGGCATGACTCAACGCCAAATGCGCACGGAACGCTGTTACCATCCCACCAAAGGTGGTCCCTATTTTTCTACTTGCATTTTTTACCTGCTTTCGAACTGCTAGGTTGGCAGAAGCTGGGACAAGTCACGGGAGCTCACCCCGTTACGCGGCACCAGGGATTCGAACCGCCAAACTGCCGACCTTTCGATCGACAAGCTCAGCGTCTTAGCCACTGAGCCACCTGCTCCTTAGCTGCTGCGATTTCACTACCTTACCTGTATCTCTATCTCTTCCTGGATTCGTCCAGCCAGATGAATCTCCTCCAAATTGGGCAGATTATCTTCTGTAAGGAAGACCTTGTACTCCAACCGGTTGTCTTCCAAGATCGAAGGATAGGTGACGTTTAAAGAAATGAGTCCTTTCCCAGCTACTGTGTATTGTCCTCGCACTTTCACCGCTAGGATTAACGCAATAACAAGAGTTTGCAAAGAACCTTGGAGGTCTTCTAACTTTATCTTTCTTTATCTTTCTTTGATTTGTATACCGCCTACTCCCGAAGGACTCAGGGCGGTGAACAGCCAAACATTAAAATACATAAATACAAAATTTAAAAACAAGATAAAATCGAATTAAACAATTTGGCTCAGTCCAACCCCCTGCTCCTCCTCCTCGCACTGAAGTTGTTACTTAGTTGGGCAATGAAATGTCAGAGAGCACCAAGGATCCCACAGAGATGCTTTATTACAGATATTTGGGGAAGAACTCCTGCGGCAGGAGATCAGATTTGATACCAATTTGAATCTTAAGTCTTATCTTCCCATCCTTTAAACCTTGAATATACTCTTCCCTTACTCAAGAGACATTTGTCTCGTGGCTGGCCTGGGAATTCTGGGAGTTGAGGTCTACACGTCTTAAAAGTTGCCAAGGTTGGACGCCCCTGCTCTAAAGGCTACAAGGGATCTTCTCCCATGGGAGAATCCATAGCAATGTTCTCCTTGGCCATCGCCCTTATCCCGCCAAACCAATTTCTGGGCTTCATTGACTCACCCAAGTGGGTGAAGAGGGGTTTCCGGTTGACCACGTGGACTGAGGTGGTGTTAGGAGACAACATCAGGAAGGTGGTGTACTCTGAAAGAGAATGCAAGCCACGGGGAGATAGAAGATGCTTGTGAAGACCTCAACCAGGACAGTGAAAAGCTTGAGCAACTTGGAGGGAGGGGAGTGACAGTGAATGGAGGCTCTACATCTCCTGTCCAGCCCTTGAGGTTCCTCAAAGCATCCAGTTGGCCACAGAAGTTGAGTGAGAGACCTTCCTAATTCAACCCAGCAGGATTTGTTCTCGTGTACAAGTTAACAACCATTCGAAATTTACGATGGCACTGGAAAAAAAAGCAATTTGCGGCAGATACTCATATCTACAGCCGTTGCAGCATTTCCGTGGCCACGTGAACAAAATTGGGGAGCTTAGCTTACCGGCAATGTATTTGTGAGAATTGCAGAATTCCGTAAAGTTACGTGACTTTCCCAGCTGGCTGCTGACAAGCAAATTCCACGAGGGAAACCAGATTGGTTTCATGGCCATGTGAGTCACTTAACGACTGGTTGGTTCACTTAACAACCATCCCAAAATGGTTGTATAATCGGGTGTGACTTAATTAACAACCACTTTGCTTAGCAACCCAAGTTCCGGTCCCAATTATGGTCATAACAAGGATTATCTCTAGTTAGGACTGGACAAAAAAGGCAATCGACAGGATAGAATGGAATTATACCTCTGGCTTTTCCCTCAGTGAAAGAGCCCTTCACGTTTACGCATGATGTGCCGTCTCCCCCGCATATTTGACATGCATCCATTTTCTTTCCAGAGTCCATCCGTCCATCACACCCAAACACCTGAAGAAAAGGGGGAGAGGGAATGAGCTGAAATTGCTTGCTGGGAACCATGGATCTAGAAGCCAGCCTGGCCTATTGAGTCCTCCCCAGGTACGGCATCTCCCAGAATTCTTTGGGCCATGCAGGCTGGGAATTCTGGGAGATTCAATGGTAGAGGATTAAACTTTTTCAACCTCAACTTCAATTAGAGTTTTGGGAAGACTGGTACGTAGCATGGAAATTATGTGTCAAAGAAAATGTCCACTCAAATGCCCCCACTCCAAAATATACAAGATACGGAAAAATTACTACTCCAAAGCCACTCTAATTCCATTGTTTGATCATCTGGGAAGGAATAAAAAGAATCAGAATTGATAAGGAGACGTTAACTGTGAGTGGACGTTTAAGGAAGGAAAGAAGCAAGAAGAGGATTTGGAAGTCCTTCATCCTCACCCTGCAGCTGCCCATCACACACAGAGCAAGGGTATCCTTGTCCGCCAGACCACTTTTCTTGCATCTTGTCCCATCAGTGAATTGGTCCCCACGGCTCACCATGAAGTTCTTCCAGCTGCCTGGCACATATATTGGCACAGAGCATCTCCTGGAGGTAGAAGACAATGAGGAGTTCAAATAATGGAGGAGGAGGAGGAAGGAAGAGGAAGAGGAGAAGAAAAGGAGGAAGGGGAAGAGGGAGAAGATGAAGGAGAAGAAGTGGGGGATGAAGGAGGGGGAGGAGGAGGGGGAGGAGAAGAAGAGAGGAAGAGGAGGGGAAGGGGAAGGAAGAAGAAGAAGAGGAGGAGGCGAGGAGTAGAAGAAGGGGGAAGGAAGGAAGGAGGGAGAGGAGCAGAAGAAGAAGAGAGGAGGAGGAGGGGAAGGAAGAGAAGAAGAGAAGGAGGAGGCGAGGAAGGAGGAAGGAAGGAAGAGGAGGAGGAAGGGAAGAAGAAGGAGAAGAAGAAAAGGAGAAGGAAGAAGAAGAAGAAGAAGAAGAAGAAGAAGAAGAAGAAGAAGAAGAAGAAGAAGAAGAAGAAGAAGAAGAATTTGCTGCTACACCAGACCCAAGGCTTCTCCAATGCAATGTTCTGACCCGATCTGGTGGCAACCCAGACTCATGTCCTTCATGAATTCATCCAATCCCCTTTCACAACCATCCATCTAATTTAGTAACCATCCCTCTGTCTCTCTCTCTCTTATGGTCACGAATCTCCGTCTCTTTCCAGTCAAGGCGTCCTCCTTGCTCTTCGAAAGAGGGAGAAAAAACCTTCCCTACCTTTGTTACCCTTCTCCAGGCTAGGTGTGCTTTTGAACCCCGAGGGAAAAAAGGTTGCCACCCGAAGCGATTACCTTTGGCATAGCCAGCTGCTGAAATCCACCTGTAGAAGGAAGGCAGCTGCCGATGAAGGTAGAGCGGCTTCACATTGGTGGCTGAGCACTGCTCGTTCATGAAGTCCATCTGGGTCTTCAGGCAGGTCTACAGGAGAAGAGAAGTCAGAAGCTCAGGATCACGTTCTCACCGGAAGAGACTTGGCTTTTTGGAGGGGTTAGTCATCCCCGAGAACTTCTCACAGGTGGCTTCCCAACGCGCTCTACCTCCAGACCAGGGGTGCAGTTCAGCAGGTTCTGACAGGTTCTGGAGAACTGGTAGCGGAAATTTTGAGTAGTTCGGAGAACCAGCAAATGCTACCTCTGGCTGGCCCCAGGAGTGGGTAGGGAATGGGGATGTTGCAGTATCCTTCCCCCAGGAATGGGGTGGGAACGGAGAGTTTGCAGTATCCTTCCCCTGGAGTGGGTTGGGAATGGAGATTTTGCAGTATCCTTTCCCTGGAGTGTGATGGGAATGGAGATTTTGCAATATCCTTCCCCTGGAATGGGGTGGGAATGGAGATTTTGCAATATCCTTCCCCCAGGAGTGGGTTGGGAATGGAGATTTTGCAATATCCTTCCCCCAGGAGTGGGGAGGGAATGGGAATTTTGCAATATCCTTTCCCTGGAGTGGGGAGGGAACGGAGATTTCGCAGTATCCTTCCCCTGGAGTGGGTTGGGAATGGAGATTTTGCAATATCCTTCCCCCAGGAGTGGGGAGGGAATGGAGATTTTTCAATATCCTTTCCCTGGAGTGGGGAGGGAATGGAGATTTCGCAGTATCCTTTCCCTGGAGTGGGATGGGAATGGAGATTTTGCAATATCCTTCCCCCAGGAGTGCTCCTTCAAACTAAGGTTGCAAACGCATTCTTACACTCAAGGGAAATCCTGCACCCCCAACCGGTTCCTTCATTAGCGGCCAGGACTCCTTTCAAAGAGAACTTTCAGATCTGAAGTCCACCTACCTGCACATGACACATCTCGGCTTGCAAGGCTTCTCCCTGGCATGATTGCCCACCAAAAGCAGGTCTGAAGAGAAAAGAAAACTTTTCAAGCCAGACTTTTACTTGTTTCCTAGTACAATGGCTTATTAGTAACTTGGACTATCATTGAGTGTTGTACTTTATGATTCTTGATGAATGCATCTTTTCTTTTTATGTACACTGAGAGCTTATGCACCAAAGACAAATTCCTTGTGTGTCCAATCACACTTGCCCAATACAGAATTCTAATCTACTCTAACCCTTGATCCCATGCCATTTAAGCCCTGGACGAGTGGCATGTGTCAAATTGAGAAGATCCAGGTCTTATTTACCGAGGGTTGTTGCACTGTCGTTGTCTTGACCTGATCCCTCCTCCGCAGCTCCTGGAACAGGAAGTGAAGGAAGTCCAGCTGGACCATTGTCCGTGCACCATGCTAACCGGAGACAGATCTTCTAGGGAGCTGCAGCGTCCTTTGGAACACCACTGGAGGAAGAGGCATCAGAGTAGTCAGGGCTGGGATTCAGCCGGTTCGGGCGAATTGGATGCTAATTTTACATCTGGTTTCACCGAACCGGTAGTTGCAAGAACTGGCTGGCCCTGCCCACCACTCCCCTCACACCCAGCCCCTCCCAGGAGTCTCTGCACGGCCTGTTTTTTATGTGAGGTAAATGCAGGGCCCGCGTGGAGGCTCTGGGAGGGTGAAAAATGGGCCTCCCGGAAGTCCAAAAACGGACCAGTTTCCGGCCTCCGGACGCTCAAGGGAAGCATCCAGAGCTTGGGGAGGGTGAAAAATGGGCCTACTGGAAGTACCAGAAGCCTGAAAACGGGCCTGTTTCCGGCTTCTGGAGTCCGGGGGAGGCTGTTTTTGCCCTCCTGGACGCTCAAGGAAAGCCTCCGGAGCCTGGGGAGGGCGAAAATGCCCCCACCCCACTGTGGTGCAGGAGGCTGAGTAGGCCACGCACCCATGGTCACGCCCACGCCCTCATGGCCATGCCCACCTAGCAACCGGGCAGAGAACTGGTTGCTAAAATTTTTCAATCCCACCCCTGAGACCAGTTATCACCCTAGAAGCGGTTCAGGATAGAACCACAGTTTACAACGAAACAGACATTTACATTTCAAATGGCTTGATGCCTTTATAGGAGCATCTGGCAGGAGATAATCAGATCTCCCGGGTCCAAAGCTGAGTGTGAATCTGAGAAGCGCGCGATGACCCTCCCGCCACCAAGAAAATCTGATTTTACCTTGTGGATCCCACATTCGGTTCCATCCAGAAGCGGGACATGGAGCCGAGAGCAGGTGGATTGATCGGCCGAATTGATGTGGCAAGAGAGAACACGGCACATGTCCTGGGAAAAGGGGATTGGGGGAGGGTGTCAAGGAAAGGGAAAAAGATATTCGTGACTCATACAAATCTATTTCTCTGGCCTCCTTTATCCCACAAAAATGTAATAATGCTAAAACAAACAGAGAGACAAGGGTACAGTATATATACTCCCCTGGATGAAGAGAGGAAAGATTTAAAAGAAAAAATTTGCCCAGGAACAAAGATAAAGAATCAGGGAGAGAACAAAAAAAAAAAAAAAGAAGTTGACTCTGGAGAGACAGAAGATGAGATTGTATTCTTCAGTTTATCCCTTCTGGCATTCTTTCTTTCCACCCTTTCTTTTTTCTCCCTATTTTTTTTTTCTTTGAAACTTCATCTGGCTTTCTAATCCTCATCAGCAGTTGGATGTGCTCTAAAGAATTTGGTGTCCAGCTGAAGATGCTCAAAGCTAAGATGGAAAAAATTCACTGGGCCATCACACTGTCTCGACCCAATGTAGATGACAGAATTGTTATTGGGAGGATTAAACAGTCGTTTTGCAGAGTGAGATGAGAGAGGAAGGAAGGAAGGAAGGAAGGAAGGAAGGAAGGAAGGAAGGAAGGAAGGAAGGAAGGAGAAACTGAAAGATGCTGATATCGGAAGGAAGGAAGGAAAATTGAAATGCTGAAATCAGGGAAGGGAAGAGAGGGGAGGGAGGAAGGAAGGAAGGAAGGAAGGAGAACTGAAAGATGCTGAAATCAGGGAAGGGAAGAGAGGGAGGAGGAAGGAAGGAAGGAAGGAAGGAAGGAGAACTGAAAGATGCTGAAATCAAGGAAGGAAGGAAAATTGAAAGATGCTGAAATCAGGGAAGGGAAGAGAGGGAGGAAGGAAGGAAGGAAGGAGAACTGAAAGATGCTGAAATCAAGGAAGGAAGGAAAATTGAAAGATGCTGAAATCAGGGAAGGGAAGAGAGGGAGGAAGGAAGGAAGGAAGGCAGGAAGGAAAGAGAACTGAAAGATGCTGAAATCAGGGAAGAGAAGGGAAGGAAGGCTGTTTGAATGAATCCTTTCAACCTTCTAAAGCCTCTTCTGTCTTCAGAGTGATGAAAGTCCACCTAACCCAGAAATGACAGTTTTACCTACCACGTCATAGCTGAAAGTGCAGGCCGAAGCCCCCGAACCGAAGGCAATTTTGCACTGTTCCTCTGCTCCAAAATACAGGCCAGGCTTCGCCTCCGGCAGGCTGCTCTTTAACACAGGCAGGTCATCTGTGCAGCTTGCTTGGCCTGTACTGGTAATAAACCAGAAGAAACCAAGGTTGCTGGGTTAGTTGGGAAGAATACAACAGACCAAATCAAGAATGCAGGCGGAGTTCTTTGGTGCTTCCTGAGCTGGGCTGTTTTCCTGCAGACGTTTTCCGACCCAACTACGTAACAGTGCTAGAAGGGAGTGGCGTTTCCAGAGAGGAGGAGGAGGATGAAGAGTAGCAGTAGGAGATTATGGAGTCCTTGGTGGTCTCTGAACTTGGCTGTTTTCTTGCAGATGTTTCATGACCCAACTAAGTAATATCATCAATGTTGCCGAATGCGCCTTGCTCCCTTTTTATGTCTAGTAGCTCTGAGCACACATTCTTGGCAAAAGATAATTGAAGGAAAGATCTGGAATCTTTCTCTTGAATCTCTGCGTTAGATGAGGATCCGAGGAAGAGAGAGAGAAAGCACAACCTTGGTCCTTTTACCTGACAAATGCCTGGAGCTGCTCTCTGCTACAGGCCGACCACGTCAGATCCACGCTGTTGTGTCCCCCTTCGGAGCCCATAACGTGTCGGTCTCCCACGCAGCCGTTCCCTTCCCCATCGTGGTCAATCCCAAAGCTGTCATCAAAAACAGAATGAAAAAAAAAAAAAAAGAAGAAGAAGAAATCAGAGGAGCGGTAGAGATCGAGATTTTTCTACGGTTATCCAAAATCCCAGAACTGCCCTCGTTCTGGTCCTTCTTGCCCACAGACCTGTGAGCAATCTCATGCGCAATGGTGATGCCCAAACCGAAGCCCGTGTCTTCGGTGATGACGCAGCTCCAAGACTTTGAACAGGCTCCTCCCTTCGAGGTGACCCCACGCACCTGCTTATTTCCATCCGGGAGTTCTAGATCAAACCTAGGCCGGCAAAGAAAGAAAGAAAGAAAAAATTGAGGGGAAGAAAAGAAATCTAAGCTAGGCTCAGATTTCCCGCCAATTGGGCGGCTTATACCTAGGTTCAGATTGCAGTTTTCCAGCGTTGCGGAAGTTACTCAAAAGGAAAGCGATTTTGTCCCCAAATCTTTGGCAAATCTCTGGGCGTGGCTTGGTTGGCCTGGCAGGGGAAGGATACTGCAAAATCTCCATTCCCTCCCCACTCCCAGGGGAAGGATATTGCAAAATCCCCATTCCCACCAGCCAGAGTGGTATTTGCCAGTTCTCCGAACTACACAAAATGTCCGCTACCAGTTCTCCAGAACCTGTCAGGACCTGCTAGATTTCACTCCTGGAACGGGGGAAGGACCACTGGAACTTAGAATCCGGGTCATAAATCCCCTCCTAACTGACCAGTTGAAGTTCTGACGGATCGACCTAGAAGGTACTTACGATCTGGATTCTAAGTGACCAGTTGTTAAATCTGAAGACTACTTACGCTTCCTAATATTTCACGCAAAGCATTATGGCTCTGGAGAATGGAATTTTTTCTCCCGAGTGATGAGCTTGTTGCCTCGCTAAACCATTCCTCAAAATTAACGGTAATTACTTGGTTACGTAAAGAACGAGGTCCGCGTGATAAGGATCCAGGTCACTCTCTGGGTTGATCTCCAGGCTCCATCGGCAAACACTCAGGATTGAGTTTGTGATGTTGGTGGAGATCTGGATGCCTTCCTGGGAAGAGGAGACACGTTGACCTCCCATTAGACCCAGATTCAAGGGGACACAATTAAGGCTGAGAGTCGACAGGTTCCTATGATAGCAATGAAGTCTTCAAGGATGGAACTCCCATAACTTTAGGTGGTCAACTTTAAACTTCAGAACCACAAATTTGGATTGTCCAGACAGGTAGGTCTATTAGAAATGAGAAAGGCCTGAGCTTTTTCTCTCTGGACAGTCCAAATACTTTACGTAGCCTCGACAGTTAATATTTTATCTCTATCTGAAGAGGTTTCCACATCTGAATGCATATTTCATTTCATTTTTTTTATTAGATTTCTATTTATTTATTAGATATGGTGGACTGTCTCAGGTCAAGTCCTGGGCTGGGTCACAAATATCACAATTTCAGTTTCATTTTTCTGGAGAATATGGAGGAGGGAAAAATCAATTTATCTCTCTCTCTTTTTACCTCAGGTTCTGTGAGGATAATCATTTTGATCAGATGAACCCTGAATTGAATACCCAGTGAGGGATCTCGAAGAAGCTCTGCTCCCTACGTAAGAGAAATATATATAAATACGTATATTCAGATGATTTGTAGGGAGAAATTCAGATTCTGAGATTAACACATTATTATTTGCAGAGAGAAAAAAACGCAACTAGGGAGGGAAGGGAAGAGAGAGACGGAGGGAGGGAGGGAAGGAAGGAAGGAAGGAAGGAAAAAGGGAGGGAGGAAGGAAAAAGGGAGGGAGGGAGGAAAAGGAGGGAGGAAAGGAGGAAGGAAAAGGAGGAAGGAAGGAAGAAAAAAGAGGGAGGGAGGGAGGAAAAAGAGGAAGGAAAGAAGGGAGGAAGGAAAAAGAGGAAGGAAGGAAGGACGGAAGGAAAAGGAGAGAGGAAGGGAGGAAGGAAAAGGAGAGAGGAAAGAAGGAAGGAAAAAGAGGGAGGGAGGGAGGAAAAAGGGAGGAAGGAATGAAGGAAGGAAAAAGAGGGAGGAAGGAATGGAGGGAGGGAGGGAGGAAGGAATGGAGGGAGGGAGGGAGGAAGGAAGGAAGGAAAGGAAGGAAGGAAAGGAAGAAAGAAAGAAATTTTCCCTGTGTGTAGCCCAAAAAGAACTCACAATGTTGAGGTTGGTGAGGATGTACCTCTCAGTGTCTTCTTTGTGGAACTGGTGAACATCTGGCCCTACCACCACTAAGAGCTCCAGATGTTTCACCTTCTCCTCAACCCCTCTGCGAATCCGAGAGGAAACCTTTCCATCTGCAACGGCCCAAAGAGAGACAAAAGAACCATGAAGCAAAGTTGGAAGACATGGGAGTATGACAGATGCAGAACTTCAGTTTTTTTTAATTTGAGTTTCCAAGAACCACTGACCCACAAATGGACAGGTTTAAGAAGAAGGCTGTCCCTTCGCTTCTCGCTTCTCTCTAATTTCCAAGGGGAAAAAAAACCGAACAACTTACTGGTCTGTGCTGATGTTGAATCGTCCTGCAGACTGCTGAAGACGATGTGGGGCCTAGGCAGATGGAGTTCCATCAACTGGCGTTGATGTTGCTTTTTCACCGGTCTAATGTGAACCTTCTTGCCACGGACACTGATAAAACCTTGCTAAGGGAAATAAGATGTCAGAGTTTGTTGCAAAAATCAAATCCAGAAAGCACACACAGGCAGACGGATGCAGCAGGATTCGTTAACTTCTTTATATACATAATAACGCATGAAGATAAAATGTACAATGCCAATATAGATTCTTCTTCAACGTAGTAGCAGTTACAAGCAAAACACAAGGCAGGAGACAACAGTTAGTTTCATTTCAGCAGTAACCTGACTTGCAGTTGCATTGAACTGTTGTAATGTATTTTGAACCCTGAACACACTGGGAGGGTTTTAATGGAACTCGGCACCTTGGCAGCCTGAAAGATCTTGAGATGTTACTCACCAGCTGTCCTTCACAATATGTGACACGGCATTTTGCCCCCAGGGGTTTGAGTGGCTTCCCTCCAGCAAAGCAAGGATGCCTTAAACGCCGCAGCAAACTAGCGGAAGAGTTTAATCTTCGGGTGGTCACGAAATACGGAGGGGAAAGAGCTTGATCTTGAGAGAACTCAAAGGTGAAGTGATCTCCTGAAGCGTGGAAGGAACAACGCTGGCCTGGACAAGACGCCTGTCTGTCTGCGCAGGAGCAAGTCAGAGGCACGAGCTCAAATTCGGGCACTGGAAAAAAGGAGAATAGAGATGCGGATATGTTGGTCCTGAACAGAACCAAACTTCGATTGATTTTATATCTGGAGTGTTCTGCTCTACTCTCTATTTCTATTCTATTCTATTCTATTCTATTCTATTCTATTCTATTCTATTCCTTATTCTATTCTATTCTATTCCTTATTCTATTCTTTATTCTATTCTATTCTATTCTTTATTCTATTCTATTCTATTCTTTATTCTATTCTATTCTATTCCTTATTCTATTCTTTATTCTATTCTATTCTTTATTCTATTCTATTCCTTATTCTATTCCTTATTCTAGTCTATTCCTTATTCTATTCTATTTCTATTTCTATTTCATCTCATTCCATCCTATTCTGCATTCTATTCTATATTGTAGTATTCTATTCAATTCTCTATTTTCTATTCTTTTCTATTCTATTTTCTATTCTAATTTCTATTCTATTCTGTTTTTTATTTTCTACTCCTTTCTATTCTGCTTTATTTTCTATTCTACTTCCTATTCTATTCTGCGTTCTACTCTACTCCAATACCAATTCCAGTCTAAATATGCAACACAACTGGGCTAGACCCATATACTTTGCCTCATTGCATCTCAAGCCTAATTAAAATCAGGGCAACCATCATTAAAATCTTTGCCAGACGTGGCGTCTTCTTACCTGCGAGGCTTGAATTTGTCCCGAAATAAAAGTAAATGTCAGGGGCTTCCAAGCTGTTCAGAAACGTCTACAAGGAGAAAGGGGGGAAAAGAAAGTCAAAACCTCACAGATCAAGATCAAAAACTCCCAGGCCACAGATCAAAAGATCACGGATCAAAGCAGTCAGACATCAAACCAGCAAGCAAGAGAGAGAGACAGAGCTGAAAAGAGATATAGTTGAAAGTTTGCAGAGGTTGGATCCAAGACTGGACGTGGAAAAATTAATGCGGGCTGCGAGGAAATGAAAGAAAACCCCCACTGGTGTCATTTGCAAGATTGCACGTTTTCCGATTGCCCAGCTGGACACTTCGCAGATCAATCCACACCAGCTCTTTCTCTCTCTCTCTCTCCTGCACCCCCAAATCCTTATTCAGTGAGAGGTCAAACTTACCTTGTGTGTTTCGGATGGCTCGCAAACCTTCAGTGTGAAAAACAACATCAAAAGGCTCTTAGCCATGATTCAAGAGCTGAAGCCACCCTACTGAGCAGCCGAGGGGGGAAAAAACGCGGATTTCTTTCGGCTTCTGCAAACAGGCAGCTGTGGGGCAGAGGGCCCCACATTTAAAGAAATGTGACAAGCAATCAGGGGACAATGTTTTTGCTAAAGGCGCCAGTGGGCAGAGGGCGAGCTTACGCAATATTTGCAGATCAGCAGCAACCAAATAATTGAGATGGAAATGAGGTTAAAAGGGAAGGGGTTTAAAAGCTATAGAACAGAAAGGAGGAGCAAAAAATCCGTGTGAGGCTGTTTCCCAGGTTTATTTTTCCAGTAACAGCCTAATATCTCTAGAAAGCACAAAGAAGGCTGAGTTAATATCATTTAACGGACCCTGTGACTTTAGGTAGCAATAGCTCAAAATTTACTTCTTTTTTTTTTTTTAACCAATCTTTCTTTACTCACTGTATAATTCTGGAAACTCCCCTACTGTTGAAGCAAAGCCGGGAATATCCAATTCGTAAAAAGTGGAGCTGTTCATTCAAATATTCCCTGTCCTATCTCAAGGGAAATGTATGATATTGACGAACCTTAAGAAACTGAAAAATTGGATCAGTTAGTCTAATGTTTTTGGGGAAATTGTCTCGGTGGGAAAGCAGGCGCTTCCGTTTTAGCATATCTCTAAATTTAGTGGCATAAAGACAAGGAAAGTGTCAAAATCATAAGTCAACTTTAAAATCATTTTTCCATTGAGTTCAACGCCTGATCACTCGTGACCAGAGTCATGGTGAGTTTTTTGGGACAAGGTGATAGTAACGAATGGTCATTGCCTGATTCCAAAATATTGTTTAAACTCCTTCCCCAGCTAGCTAATACTCTGGGATTTTCTGGTTAATCTCCTGTCCAACTCCTAACTTTTTTAAAAAAACAACCAAGATTAGCTAGAAACTATTTTTTAGCTGGACCACCAACAGCTAGCCACTAGTAGTCCCAACATTGTGGGATGCTCTCGACTGGCTTGATGCTCTCTGGTGGTTTTCTTGCAGACGTTTCATTACCCAACTAAGTAACATCATCAGTGCAGCGCGATGAAACATCTGCAAGAAAACCACCAAGCTCAGAGAGCACCGGACAGCTCAACCCTGAGCTATTCTCTTCTACCAGTAATTCCATCATCCTCTGCTTAAAATGTCGCCAAGCCAAGCTTTTCACTTTCTGCCCAAAATACCCTGGATGGCTGCAATCCTTTTCTTTCTAGAGTAAGGCTACTCAAGCTTGGCCCCTTTAAGATAGGAGGACTTCAAATCTTATTCCATATTTCTATCCTATCCTATCCTATTCCATATTTCTATCCTATCCTATCCTATCCTATCCTATCCTATCCTATCCTATATTATCGTATATTTATTTTCTATCTATCCTATCTATTCCTTATCCTATCCTATTCCATATTTATTTTATCTATCCTATTCCTATCTTTCCTATCTATCCTATCCTATTCCAAATTTATTTTCTATCCTATCCTATCCTATCCATATTTCTTTTCTATCCTATCCTATCCTATCTATCCTATCCTATCCTATCCTATCCATATTTCTATCTATATCCTATCCTATCCTATCGTATATTATTTTCTATCCTATCCTATCCTATTCCATATTTATTTTCTATTCTATCCTATCCTATTCTATATTTCTTTCCTATCCTATCCTATCCTATTCCAAATTTTTTTCTATCCTATCCTATCCTATTCCATATTTATTTTCTATCCTATCCTATCCTATCCTATCCCATATTTCTATCCTATCCTATCCTATCCTATTCTATTCTATCCTATTCCATTCCATATTTATTTTCTATCCTATCCTATCCTATCCTATTCTTTCTATCCTATCCTATCCATATTTCTTTTTATCCTATCCTATCCTATTCATATTTATTTTCTATCCTATCCTATCCTATTCCATATTTCTTTTCTATCCTATCCTATCCTATCCTATCCTATCCATATTTCTATCCTATCCTATCCTTTCTATTCCATATTTCTTTCCTATCCTATCCTATCCTATTCCTATTTCCTATCCTATCCTATCCTATTATTTTCTATCCTATCCTATCCTATTCCATATTTATTTTCTATCCTATCCTATCCATATTTTATCCTATCCTATCCTATCCTATTCTATTCTATTCCATTCCATATTTATTTTCTTCCTATCCTATCCTATCCATATTTATTTTCTATCCTATCCTATCCTATTCCTATTTTCTATCCTATCCTATCCTATCCTATCCTATCCTATTATCCATATTTCTATCCTATCCTATCTATCCTATCCCATTCCATATATTTTCTATCCTATCCTATCCTATCCTATCCTATCCTATCCTATCCCATTCCATATTTATTTTCTATCCTATCCTATCCTATCCTATCCTATCCTATCCTATCCTATCCTATCCTATCCTATCCTATCCCATTCCATATTTATTTCCTATCCTATCCTACCCTATCCTACTCTTCTGTTGAATGCTGCCTTGCCGGTAGGAACCAAAGTCCCCGGCCTCGTGTTTCCTGCCGGCGCCACCTGGGGAAAGGACCTACTTCCGGTTTCGGTTTAAAGCAGCGCTGCTGCCAGCCACGTGGGTGGGGCTGCTGCAGCAGGAGCGGCTTTGCTGACAGGGACGGCGGGGGGGAAGCCGGAGGGTCTTTTCGTCCGCTCAGGAAGTGATTTATGGAGCTTGGGAGCCCATAAAAGGCCAGGTGAGCGGTTTATAAAGAAGAGACAAGCTCCCTCTTAAACCACCCTTAGCCTAGGCAGGGGGTCGGACTAGAGGACCTCTAATGTCCCTCCAACTCTGTTAATTCTGTCAATTAAAGAGTGGAAAGGCTCCCTCCAGAAGTTGTGGGGGCTCCATCCCTGGAGGCTTTTAAGAAGAGATTGGACAGCCATTGGTCTGGAATGGCATAAGGTCTCCTGTTTTGAGCAGGGTGGGGTTGGACTAGAGGACCTCTAAGGTCCCTTCCCAGCTCTACAACTACTACTTTACTAAGGATAGCTGGTTGTGTAAAATGCAACTGCAAGAACTTAGAAACAGAAGAACAGAGCCCTTGAAGGGTTATTAGGTGCTGAAAGGACAGAAGGACAATTTTTATCTGTTTTCTGGCCACTAAAGTAAAGGTATCCTTTTTAAAATATTCCAGGTGGTTTTTCTCTCTGCTGTATGAATGATAAAATGTGAGTCTTTGTGTTTTTTCAGTCCTAGTGCTTGCGGTCAAAGCTCCTATCAGAAATGACCAAAACGAAGAAGAAGGACTCCCCGTCCCCAACAGATAACTCTACAACTAAACCAGAAAACCTTAAGAATCAGCACAGAAAGAAGAAGAAGAAGAAGAAGTTATTTTGGAAAAAGTTCAGCCAAGTAGAGAAGAGAGCAAGCAAAGAAGCCAAAGCAGTGGTAGACTTGCCTCCAAAAACTTCTCAGGAGGTTTCATCAAATTGGAAAGCCCTACAAAAGGTATATTTGGGTAGGGACTTTTCCTGGAGATCTTTTATTTTGGCCAGGGAAGTTGGGGGCTTTTTAAGGAACACATTTTTAATGTAGAAAGGAATAGAATCAGAGGTGGGTTTCAGCAGGTTCTGGCCAGTTCTGGAGAACCGGTAGTGGAAATTTTGAGTAGTTCGGAGAACCGGTAGTAAAAATTCTGAGTGGTCCCGCCCCCATCTATTCTCTGCCTCCCAAGTCCCAGCTGATCGGGAGGAAATGGGGATTTTGCAGTAACCTTCCCCTGGAGTGGGGTGGGAATGGAGATTTTACAGTATCCTTCCCCTGCCACGGCCACCAAGCCACGCCATGCCCACAGAACCGATAATAAAAAAATTTGAAACCCACCACTGAATAGAATGTCAGATGCTGGGTGTGAAATCATGTTAATCTTGGATTAATCATATAAAAGGAAGGAAAATAAGAGCTAACGGTTCTTCACCAACTTAGTAAACAAAGGTTGGACATCCTACAATCCTATTGCTAACATTTCAGACCAAGTCAAGTTAATAATTCCGGGCTAGAATTTTACTTAAAATGCTCACAAATGCAAGAAGAGATTAAAAAGCATGCTTCTTGGATTTCATAAAAATACACCTCTTGAGGAGGTATTATGGTGACAAAATTAAAATCATCTTAAACTGAAGTTGGTTGGAATCTCCAGCAGGATATTCTAAATATGAGACCAGGCTGAAAAATGTTATATTAAGATGGTTTTTAGCTCAGGAAGTTAGGTAAATCCAACCAGTTTGTGGTTTTAACAAATGTGGAAATCTGGTTGAGTATGCAAATCCAACCTGAATACATGTGCATTTTTGGTTTCCTTTTAGCTTCTGCAACAAAAGGCATCCAACAACCATTTGAATTCTGCTGTTACTGCTCCTGATACTTATTCCAAGAAAAAAAACTCTGTCAAGGACGGAAAAACTGTACCACACGTATCGGGACCAAATGGAATTGGGAAGAAGCTGACATCAAAGGTTCAGGTTCGAAGTTTGAATCCCGCAGGTGTCACAGGATCGAAAAAGTCCACTCAAGTGAAGAAGAATCCGCAACAAGTTCAAGAAGCTGGCAAAGAGCAGAGAAGCCTCCAAATGGACAACGGAGAGAAGAAGCAAGGAGATATTAAACATAAAAGAAGGAAACAGGATGAATCCGTGGAAACAACGCCAGTGGAGTAAGTCTTGAGGGCTTTGGACTTAATCCCAAAAATGCATTTTTTAAGAGGCAACTGGACTTTCTGGTTTTTCTTTGAAGACGTTTCGCTTCTCATCCGAGAAGCTTCTTCAGCTCTGACTGGATGGTGGGGAATGGAAGGATTTATACTCCTTGCAGGCAGCTGGTCATTTGCATCCTTTTAGAGAGCTGTTGAGGCCACTTGGAGGTTTGTCTGTGTCATCAGGATCAACTGAGTGGTGCAAATTGGGTGTGGAGCCTTCTTGAAAACTGTTGAAAGGACTGTGTTGTAGATTGGAGATAGGTGATGACACAGAGAAACCTCCAGGTGGGGAGACATGATAGCATCTTCCAATATCTCAGGGGCTGCCCCAAGAAGAGGGAGTCAAACTATTCTCCAAAGCACCTGAGGGCAGGACAAGAAGCAATGGGTGGAAACTCATCAAGGAGAGAAGCAACTTAGAACTAAAAAGAAATTTCCTGACAGGGAGAACAATTAATTAAAGTGGAACAACTTGCCTGCAGAAGTTGTGAATGCTCCAACACTGGAAATTTTTAAGAAGATGTTGGATAACCATCTGTCTGGAGTGGTGTAAGGTTTCCTGCCTAGGCAGGGGGTTGGACTAGAAGACCTCCCAGGTCCCTTCTAACTCTGTTATTCTATTCTATTTCACAGTGGGTAACTGAAGTGGGCTTTCTTAAGCCCCCTTCCCCTCATTTGTGGTTCCTTTGGCTTTCTAGCATCTGGTTTGATGATGTGGATCCAGATGATATCGAGGCAGCTTTGGGACCAGAAGCCGCAAAAGTAGCCCGAGAGAATCTGGGCATCCGAAACGAGAGAACTCAGCAGGTGCCTGAACCTGAACTGGTGAAAGAACATGCTTTTGAAGGGTAATTATGATTATATCGATTCAGAGGGTTGAACGCTGAGGGAGTTTTATTGCGGGGTGGGGGGTGGATGTCCTTGACTTAACGACCGCAACGGAGCCCCAAAATTCCTGTTGTCAAGTAAGACATTTCTTAAGAGAGCTTTGCCCCATTTCACAATCTTCCTTGTCGCCATTGTTAAGTGAAACACGGTTGTTCAGTCAGCAACAAACTTGCGAAGCGAATCTGCCTTCCCCCGACTTGGCTTTGCCAAAAGGCCGCAGAAGGGGGATCGCGTGACCACAGGATATTGCAATGGTCGTAGGTATGAAAAGATGGTCATAAGTCCTTTCTTCAGCGCCGTTGTAACTTCAGTCGCTAAATGAACTGTTGTAAGTGGAGAATTACCTGCAGTTAGTGGTTGCTCTGTTTTTCATTCAAGGCATCAGTTCAACCGTACAGCGTTTTAAACTCTTTTCTTGGCAACCAGCCCGCTGGAAATGTGGACAAAATCAGGGAACATATTAACACATGTGGTGGACGTGCCCAAAAGTAAAACAATATTGGACTAGAATAAGAAAATGCCTGGAAGAGATAACCAAACAACAAATAGATATGAAACCAGAAATATTTTTATTAGGAATATTTACAGGGAACTATGACAAAAAAAAATACAATATTTAATTTTACACATCACAACAGCAGCGAGAATAACGTATGCACAAAATTGGAAGAATAACAATGTACCATCAGAGGAAAATGTAATAAGGAAACTTTTAGAGTGTGCAGAGATGAACAGACTCACAAAAGAAATAAAAGATAAAAGAAGAAACATGGTAATGGGATAAATTGGTAGAAATGGTTAGAGGATAGATGTAAAGGTTAAGGAAAGACTAAATGAAGAAGATATAGGAATTAGAAATTAGTAACAAACTTGTATATATGGAAACGACACAAAATGTACAGTTTGTAATTTAACATATTAATATATCAATATGTATAAAAAATAATGTATAGCTAAAGGTAAATTGAAGGGGAGGGGGAAATGAACATACAACAGAAGTATACCGATGTAATGTTGTAAAGAAGAAAACTCAATTTTAAAAAAAATAAATAATAAAAATTATTTTAAAAAAATAAACTCTTTTCTTGGCAGGCTAACCAAAGCAGTGGCCATCGACTGCGAGATGGTGGGGGTGGGGCCCACGGGCGAAGACAGCATCCTGGCCCGCGTCTCGGTTGTGAATTTATTCGGCAAATGTGTTTATGACAAGTACGTCAAGCCTTCGGAAAACGTGACGGACTACAGAACCGCAGTTAGTGGGATCCGGCCTGAGAACTTAAAAGCAGGTAAGGAAGCTGGCTGATGGCGGTTTGAACTTTTATGTCTGGGTTGCTGTTGTACCCGGCTAAATCAAACTGCGGTTTATCGGGCATCTAGCATTGTTGCCTATTGCCGTAGTTCTTTTAAATATGGTTTGTGGAATAAGGCCTTGGGGGGGGGGGGGGTTAGGTCTGTTCTTCTGTACTAAATTCCTGAGGCTAATTTAGTAGAGTTTCACATAAAGGTTTCCTGGGCATTATTGTGCCCCCCCCCTCCTCTTTGTTCCTATTCCACTCACCGCTTACGTGGATAAACCATGATTTGTCTCCCTCTTTACTGTGGATAAACCACAGTTTCCTTTTTCTTCCTAAAGGAATCCTTAACAAAGCCAGGATGGCCTCATTCCAAAAGACTTGCACAACCCTTTACAGTATAAATTCACTAAATAAATAAATAAATAAAATTCTCTGCAACATTGTCCTTTTTTTGGGGGGGGTGGGGAATTTTAGGGGAGGATTTCAAAGCTGTCCAGAAAGAAGTCGCTGACATCCTAAGGGGTAGGATCTTAGTTGGACACGCACTTCACAACGACTTAAAGGTAACTACGGACTTTACATGCCTTTGGTTCAGAATGTGTTTCTACGGTGTAGTGTGTTTTTCTGATTTATCTTTTCTTCTCTACCTGCCGGAAGAAAGGTGGGTGGGTGGGTAGATGGGTAGATAGATGAATAGATAGATAGGTGGGTGGATGGATGGATGGATGGCTAAGTAGGTAGGTAGATGGGTAGATGGATAGGTAGGTAGGTAAGTAGATAGATGGGTAGATAGATAGATAGATAGATAGATAGATAGATAGATAGATGATAGATAGATGGATGGATGGATGAATGGGTGGATGGATGGATGGGTGGATGGATGGATGGATGGATGGGTAGATAGATAGATGAATGGGTGGATGGGTAGATAAATGGATAGATAGATGGATGTATTGGTGGATGGGTAGATAGATGGATGAATGGATGGATGGGTAGATAGATAGGTAGATAGATGGGTAGATATTAGAGAATAGATGAGATGATGGATGGATGGATGGATGGATGGATGGATGGGTGGATGGATGGATGGATGGATGGGTAGATAGATGGATGAATGGGTGGATGGGTAGATAAATGGATAGATAGATGGATGAATTGGTGGATGGATGGATAGATGGATGGGTAGGATAGATAGGTAGATAGATGGGTAGATATTAGAGAAATAGATGAGATTAGAGATAGATAGATAATCATAATCTCTCTGTGTGTAAACAATTATTAAACTAAAATTAAGTGCCTTTTTAGTTTTAATATCCATAGATTTTATCTGGCCAAGCAGCTTTTTCAGCCCCATCCCCTTCCTGGCCTTTTAAGTCCTCCAAATGAAGAAATATTTATTTTCAAACATGGCGTTTTCCACTCCCCATCATTCTTCTGTGGCTGAGGTTTAAGTAATACATTGTCGTTTAGCTTCTTCTCACTTTAGAATCATAGAATCCTCGGGCCGGAAGGGACCTCAAAGGTCTTCCGTTTCAGCTCCCCCACTCAAGACATTCTACCATCCCAGCCAAATGGATGTCTTGTCTTGCCTTTAGCTTGCATGTCTTACTTCTGTCTGTCAACTAATTTAACTATCTGAGGACATTTATTTATTTATTAAATGTAATACACCAGTCATCTTACTGTCAAGTGACTCTGGGTGGCGTACAAAGCATCATAAAAACAGTGCTACAGACATTAAAACATTCAATATTAAACAAAAAATTAAATAATCAGAATCCTGATTATTGGGGAGGAGGTGGAATTTTCATCCAAGTCCACTAATCACATTTTGGGGGCCCCAAGTAATCATTCCAAATAGGTCTTTTTATTTATTTACTTACTTACTTACTTACTTACTTACTTACTTACTTACTTACTTACTTATTTTCCAGATTCTACTTCTTGACCATCCCAAAAAGAAAATCCGAGACACACAAAGATACAAACCTTTCAAAAAGCAGGTCCAGGTGAGAAGAGATCCTTTTTTTGACTTCGAGGGAACCGATTCTATAGGGAGGCCACTGACGCTTACAAGCCATTTTTCATCCGCTTATTTATTTATTCACTTCACAACCAATTTAATAACTGCAGTGATTCACTTAAAGAAAGGCCGTTGCAGAATGAGGCAAAACGCACTTAGCAAATGTCTCGCTTAACAACAGAAATGTGGGGCTCAATTGTGGCCCTAAGCCGGGGACTACCAGCACAGGAAATTCAAGCGTTCGAGTTCTTCTCTCTGATCAATGCTTCCCTATTTCCGCAGAGCCTCCGACCTTCCCTCAAACTGCTGTGCGAGAAACTTCTCAACGTAAAGGTGCAAACATCAGAACACAGTTCGGTAAGTGATTAGAACCCGGGTCCCGGCGGAGAGACCCGGGAGGCTAACGGAATGATGGGGGAAAGCGTTCTGCCCCATTGAGACCGGGGGGGCGGGCGGGGGTGTGTGTGTCTGGCTTCTGCAGAAGTTTTTAAAAACAGATGCAAGGATGGAATCTCCAGAATTTCAGCCTTTCACCTTCTTAGCTTGTCATCTTTGGACCGAACTCCGAAGCAGCATGTTCTGCCTTTAATTGCCTGCTTCTTTCTCTCTCTCTCTCAGGTCCAAGATGCTCAAGCGGCCATGAGACTTTACACTTTGGTGAAAAAACAGTGGGAAGCGTCCCTGAAAGAAATCCCCAAGGCCAAGAAAATTTAACTCTTGCCAGACTATTTTACGTCTGGCTGTGTTCGCTGTTTGATCTGGCTGATCGAACGTTTTGCCTGATCGCTTCTGTAGCTGTTCCTTTGGCCCTAAATTGGATATCGGAGAGAAATTAATTGGGGAGGGAAGGTTTTTTTTTTACTTCATCAGAAGATGAAGCTTCCCGTGCGGTCGGTCATAGATTTGGGATACTGCTGAATTGATCTTCTTCTGACTTAAATCTCCAGTCAGGGATCAGCTGTTGGGTCTTCAGGGAGGATCAAAACCGGGAAAAAAATCCTTTGCACGTTGCTGGGCCAGACACCTCGATCCCTAAATCCAGTCCAGAAACGTTTGCAAAATGGCAATTGGGTTCCTCTTTTTGGACCACGCGTCGCCGTGCCTATTGGATTTCTCATCTGCCTCTTGAATTATATTTTACTTTTTCAAAATAAGCGTTAAAAGAGCTACGCAAGGGCCTTGGGAGATGGCGAGGCGCTGTTCTGCCCCAGCTACAGACCCCAAAGAACGCAGCACACACGAAGTCTGTACAAACCTTAGTTTACTAAATTAAATCAGTCCTTTTCAAACAAAGGCTGTTAATTAACTTTCTTAACAGCCTACAAGAATCCAAAGAATAAATAATCGTAATCTTACTATGGTTGGCAGAAAGCCCAGAAGCAATTTGCAGAGAACTAAGATCCAGACGCGAAGGAGAGCGAACGAAGTTGTTCCCTGCAAATTGCCTCAGTTGTCGTCCTTCTTTAAATAGGCTAAGGGAGTGGCCAATTAGCCCCAAGCCTTACTCTCGAGGAGACCTCCTCCTGAGGAGCCACTCCTGCCTTTTGGCAGCTCTGCGCGCCCGTGCATCGAGAAGAGGCTCCTCCTCTTCTTCCTCTTCACTTATGGGAGCTTCTGAAGGCCTCTGGCACCACATCTTCTCCAGCCTCCTCATTGTCCGACTCGAGTGCCAGCTGCACAGGCTACTGGCGCAACATCACACCAGCCTCCTTGCTGTCGGAATCAGCTACTAGCTGCACAGGCCGCTGATGGGCCACAACAGGCGCTGCAGCGTTTGGGCGATCTTAGAAAGAGAAGTGAACATGTGATCTTTAAATGTGAAACCTTCTTCTGCGTCTATGGAAATGTCCTACGGGAATTGATACGGGTATTCCTCGACTTTTCGGCCATTAATTGTAAATTGTGATAGTGGCAAAACAGGCCGATGATGTGAGCGACCTGCTTTTACGACCTTTTTTTTGTGTGTGTGTGGCAGTCGTTAAGCGAACCAGTGGATCGCTGGGGGCCTGGTTTTGCCAAAAGCTGGATTTTGGCGAAACCATCGTAAACAGCAAGTCCTTGACGGCTGTAAATCCATTGTAACTTTTGTCATAAGTCGGGGACTACCTCCACAAGTAGTGTATTGGCAATAACAGTTCACTTTTTATTGTATTTTTTATTAGGCCACTTCGTCTGTAGACACCAGTAGGGATTCCTTTTAAATCACTTGAGTTTTTAAGTGCCCAAACTATGCTTTGGATAGCATTTAAGTGAATTTTTTCTCCTTACCTGTCTTGCCTTAAGCAGATGCTTTTGAAATTGTGTCAAGGTTCCGAAATTAGCAGTAATCTAGCAGAGGAAAGCGGAGTATATCTATCTATTGCAATCCCCTGTTGAAAAAAAGACTTCATCGTTGCAACTCGTTTTTCCTATTTATTGCACAGCCTTTTAATATTTTCAGCAAAATGTAATATTGTTTGCATTTTGCAAATAAATAAATACTGAAGTTCCGTCAAAGCAAAACTTTTCCCTCCTGTTCATCTTGGAAATAATCAACAGGGCGAGAGAAAGAGAAAAAAAATCAAAGAAAAGTTATCTTCTATCAGGGATCGTCCTTTATGAGAAGCCCTGTGGGAGTGTGAAAATTGAGAAGAAGTTACGTTTTATTTTTAAAAAGGCACCGTCGTCGTTTAGAAAATAACATTTTTTAAATTTAGATAAATAAATTTAAAGAATTTTCACCTTTTTTCTGTAGTTTTGAGAGTGCCTTCTCTGACAGGGCAACAATTTCCTGAGGGTAAATGCATACAACATTTGGGGCATCAGACCGTTATCAGATCTGGTGTCCGTTATCAAAAACACACTTGTAAATTCGCGTAGCAACTGTTAGGTAAATAAAGAAACACCTTCCGATTTCATCTTCCTTCCTTCTTGTTTACCCATCTTTTTCCGAGTTACTTTGATCTTTTTTTAAACAGATTAACAAAGTTGGAAGGGACCTTGTAGGTCATTTAGTCCAACCCCTCGCTCAAGGACCTCGATGACGTTAGTGAGGCCAGACCGGATTGAAACAAATCTCGTTGCCAACGAAAAGTGTCCCCTTCATATTCCTCCTTACCCCCTTACCAAACTAGAGGTAAATCTGTCCTTCATTTCTCTCAGCACATCCGTAATGCTTTGGGAGACCATCTCGACAATAATTTCATCTGCAATTTGAAAGAAATTAAAAAGGCTGGAATCATTTTGGCATGGTTCACGGGGGCCTGAGCAGAACGGGATATTCCGCGCAAACGTTTACCATATTTAAACATCTCGTCGATCAGGACGCAAATGTTTTCCACCACTTCGGGATCCTCCCTGTGGATCTGGTAGCAATCTTTAAGCAGGATTATCCCGTTGCCCTTCTCATCCGTAACTATGAATCGGAAACCGGATAACTCTAAAAAGGAAGAGATTTTATTAAATCACCGACTGATTTTTTTCCCCCTTCACTTTCATGCAGCTAAAGTTCACTCCGCACACACATTAAAGGTAAAGGTTCCCCTCGCACATATGTGCTGGTCGTTCCCAACTCTAGGGGGCGGTGCTCATCTCAGTTTCAAAGCCGAAGAGCCAGCAATCTTTTCTTTAATTGAGCACAGCCACTGGATCATGACTCAATGCGGACAAGACTGACCTTTTGCCCCCCAATCCCTCCCTTTCCGATCCCCAAATCTCTGCTTCTCATTGGCTATCTTCCAAGTCATTCCTCAGACTTCTTGTCTCGTCATTTCCCAGGAATGTCTCCCCCCCCATTTCCACGACAACCCGACTTCAAAGGGATTTAGCAGGCAAAAGTTCAGAGCTTATCTCTCTCTCTCTCTCCTCTGCTCTCTATGCCAGCGTCGAAGCGCTGACATCCTGCAGCGATTCCCTTCTAAAAACGGCGAGAAACGTTGTAAAACAGGGCAAGGCTCAGTTGAGAACTGTCTCGCTTTGCAACGGGGCTCAATAGCAGCCGTTAAGCTTTTCAAGCAATGCCTTGAAACCTCGTGGCTTGGTAGATGAGCGCAGTCCACTGAGCGATGGGGGGAAGGAAGGTTCAAGGCACTCCTTGAAAACTCCTTACCGGACATCCTCAGGAGGCTGGCCAGGGCGAGACAAGCGTTCTTCACCAACACGGGGCTGTCGGGATGCTGCCTCAGAGCTTCGAGCAAAAGCAGAGAATAAGGCTCGTATTTGACTTCGTCTATGCATCCTGCAAGGGAAGCCAGAGGATGAAATTGTTATTGTATTTCCAGAACTACTTGCAAAGGAAACTGGGAAGCATTTTTTTTTTAAAAAAATGAACTGGCCTAGTAGAAATCAATAGAGGTAGTCCTTGATATACAACAGTTCATTTAGAGTAGAGTAGAGTAGAATAGAGTAGAGTAGAGTAGAGTAGAGTAGAGTAGAGTAGAGTAGAGTAG